TTTCTGTAGTTCAAGAATTTGTTTTTGAGAACTTCTTAATGTTCTTATCAATTTTTTGAGATCTGCTTCTTGCATTTCTTCTATGTCATCATCTTCATAATCTTGAATTGGGGTGTCTTTTTCATTTGAGGGCGTCATGGTGACTTCCTTGTTTTTATTACCTCGGTTTTTGCATTTGTTATTTGGCATATTGGACATATTTGGTTTCTTCACTGTGGTGCTTTTTACTATGACTCTAGATTAAGTGGACTATCTGTTTTTGATGGAGCCTTAGGGCTTGAGATGGGTGTGGCCTGAGAGCTCTGTTTGGTGTGCCAAAGGTGACACTAAATCAATAAAATCAGAGATGAAAAAGGAAATGTAACAACAGACACCACAGAAATAAAAAGAATCATCAGAAATTACTACAAGGACTTGTATGCCAGCAAACAGGGAAACCTATCAGAAATGGATAGATTCCTGGACACATGCAACCTACCTAAATTGAACCCGGAAGACATAGAAAACCTAAACAGACCCATAACTGAGACAGAAATTGAAACAGTAATAAAGGCCCTCCCAACAAAGAAAAGCCCAGGACCAGATAGATTCACTGCTGAATTCTACCAGACATTTAAAGAAGAACTAACTCCAATTCTTCTCAAACTATTCAGAACAATCGAAGAAGAGGGAATCCTCCCAAATTCTTTCTATGAAGCCAGCATCACCTTAATTCCTAAGCCAGAAAAAGATGCAGCACTGAAAGAGAATTACAGACCAATATCCCTGATGAACATAGATGCAAAAATCCTCAATAAAATTCTCGCCAATAGAATGCAACAACACATCAGAAAGATCATCCACCCAGACCAAGTGGGATTTATCCCTGGTATGCAGGGATGGTTTAATGTGCGCAAGACAATCAATGTGATACACCACATTAACAGACTGCAGAAGAAAAACCATATGATTATCTCAATAGATGCCAAGAAAGCATTTGATAAAATACAACACCCGTTCATGATGAAAACTCTAAGCAAACTGGGTTTGAAAGGAACATTCCTCAATACAATCAAAGCAATCTATGAAAAACCCACAGCCAACATCCTATTGAATGGGGAAAAGTTGGAAGCATTTCCACTGAGATCTGGTACCAGACAGGGATGTCCACTCTCACCACTGCTTTTCAATATAGTTCTGGAGGTTCTAGCCAGAGCTATTAGGCAAGAAAAAGAAATTAAAGGGATACAAATTGGGAAGGAAGAACTCAAACTATCCCTCTTTGCAGATGACATGATTCTTTATTTAGGGGACCCAAAGAACTCTACTAAGAGACTATTGGAACTCATAGAAGAGTTTGGCAAAGTAGCAGGGTATAAAATCAATGCACAAAAATCAACAGCCTTTGTATACACAGACAATGCTATGGCGGAGGAAGAACTTCTAAGATCAATCCCATTCATAATAGCTACAAAAACAATCAAATACCTTGGAATAAACTTAACCAAGAACGTTAAAGATCTCTACAATGAAAATTACAAAACCTTAAAGAAAGAAATAGAAGAGGATACCAAGAAATGGAAAAATCTTCCATGCTCATGGATTGGAAGAATCAATATCATCAAAATGTCCATTCTCCCAAAAGCAATTTATAAATTCAATGCAATACCAATCAAGATACCGAAGGCCTTCTTCTCAGATCTGGAAAAAATGGTGCTGAAATTTATATGGAGGCACAAGAGACCTCGAATAGCTAAAGCAATCTTGTACAACAAAAACAAAGCTGGAGGCATCACAATACCAGATTTCAGGACATACTACAGGGCAGTTGTAATCAAAACAGCATGGTACTGGTACAGAAACAGATGGATAGACCAATGGAACAGAATTGAAAGACCAGAAATCAACCCAAACATCTACAGCCAACTTATATTTGATCAAGGATCTAAAACTAATTCCTGGAGCAAGGACAGTCTATTCAATAAATGGTGCTGGGAAAATTAGATTTCCACGTGCAGAAGCATGAAGCAAGACCCCTACCTTACACCTTACACAAAAATCCACTCAACATGGATTAAAGAACTAAATCTACGACCTGACACCATCAAGTTACTAGAGAACATTGGAGAAACCCTTCAAGATATTGGCACAGGCAAAGAATTTCTGGAAAAGACCCATGAGGCACAGGCAGTCAAAGCCAAAATCAACTATTGGGATTGCATCAAATTGAGAAGTTTCTGTACTGCAAAAGAAACAGTCAGGAGAGTGAAGAGACAACCGACAAAATGGGAAAAAATATTTGCAAACTATGCAACAGATAAAGGGTTAATAACCAGAATCTACAAAGAGATCAAGAAACTCCACAAAAACAAAACCAACAACCCACTTAAGAGATGGGCCAAGGACCTCAATAGACATTTTTCAAAAGAGGAAATCCAAATGGCCAACAGGCACATGAAAAAATGTTCAAGGTCATTAGCAATCAGGGAAATGCAAATCAAAAGCACAATGAGGTTTCACCTCACCCCGGTTAGAATGGCTCACATGCAGAAATCTACCAACAACAGATGCTGGCGAGGATGTGGGGGAAAAGGGACACTAACCCACTGTTGGTGGGAATGCAAACTGGTCAAGCCACTATGGAAGTCAGTCTGGAGATTCCTCAGAAACCTGAAGATAACCCTACCGTTCGACCCAGCCATCCCACTCCTTGGAATTTACCCAAAGGAATTTAAATTGGCAAACAAAAAAGCGGTCTGCACCCTAATGTTTATTGCAGCTCAATTCACAATAGCTAAGACCTGGAACCAACCTAAATGCCCATCAACGGTAGACCGGATAAAGAAATTATGGGATATGTACTCTTTAGAATACTATACCGCAGTAAGAAACAACGAAATCCAGTCATTTGCAACAAAATGGAGGAATCTGGAACACATCATGCTGAGTGAAATAAGCCAGTCCCAAAGGGACAAATACCATATGTTCTCCCTGATCGGTGACAACTGACTGAACACCAAAAAGGAAACCTGTTGAAGTGAAATGGACACTATGGGAAACGGTGACTTGATCAGCATAGCCCTGACTGTTAATGAACAACTTAATACATTATCCCTCTTAGTAGTTTTTTTGTCTGTTCTACTTAATATGACTGGTTTAATTCTGTAATTAATACACAGTTATTCTTAAGTGTTGAAAATTAACTGAAATATGATCCCTGTTAAACATAAGAGTGGGAATAAGAGAGGGAAGAGATGTATAATTTGGGACATGCTCAAGCTGACTTGCCCCAAATGGTAGAGTTAGAAACATACCAGGGGATTCCAATTCAATCCCATTACGGTGGCATGTACCAATGCCATCTCACTATTCCAAGTGATCAATTTCAGTTCACAATTGATCATAATGAAAGGACTAAGAGTCAAAGGGAGCACATAAACAAGTCTAGTACCTGCTAACACTAACCGATAGAATAAATAAAGGGGAGAGTGATCCAACATGGGAAGTGAGATACTCAGCAGACTCATAGAATGGCAGATGTCCTAAATAGCACTCTGGCCTCAGAATCAGCCCTAAAGGCATTCTGATCTGGCTGAAAAGCCCATGAGAGTATTTCAGGCATGGAAAGCCAAGACACTCTGGCAAAAGATCTCTGTGAGTGAGATCCCAGTGGAAAGAACAGGTCTTCAAAGAAGGAGGTACCTTTCTCTGAAGGGAGGAGAGAACCTCCACTTTGACTATGACCTTGTCTAAACAAGATAAGAATCGGAGAACTCAGAGAGCTTCTATAGCCTTGGAAACTCATGACTGGAGCATAGGGAGATTACTGATGCCATAGACAGGAGTGTCAATTGGTAAAGTCAACAACAGGAGTCACTGTGCACTTACTCCTCATGTAGGATCTCTGTCCTTAATGTGCTGTGCATTGAGATTTAATGCTATAATGAGTACTCAAACAATATATTTCACTTTGTGTTTCTATGGGGGTGCAAACTGTTGAAATCTTTACTTAATGCATACTAAACTGATCCTCTGTAAAAAAAAGAAAAAGAAAAAAGAAAAAAAGAAATTATCAACTCCCAACTTGACTCTCACTGGGATTAAACATGACAATAGGTCTGAAAAAAAAAAAGGAAGAAGTGAAAAAGGAGCACAATCTGCAATCAGATTGAGGAGGGTCCCAAGTCTGGTGCTACCACTTAGAGATGACTCCAGTCACTTTTCTTATCTTCTCATCTCTCAATCGAAGACTGCAAGATCAGCCACTGCCTTACAGGTTATTGTGAGGTTAAAAAGAGATAATTCATGCAAAGTGCTTACCAGAGTGCCTTTACAAGTGGTAGTCACTCAATAGATGTTCATACTAATTTATCAATAAGTATTCATAATAATTTGTCATAAGGCACACACCCATGTAGATTACATGAAACCCCATGTCTCACAGGTACTTCAGGTTACCTGTTTGACAGCCTAGAGAATTCTAGGAGAAGTCAGCTATTAGAAATAAGCTTCTCAGGCAGGAAAGATACTGTCTATGTAGAGGACATTTGAAAACAAGAGGAAGGCCTGGTTTGAGTTGTCCCAGTGACTGGTGGGAAAGGACACTACTCGCATATACACCCAATATCCTGCAATGTGCATGAAAGTCCCCTACAAAAATAACTTATCCAAAATTCTAATATCATCTCTCTTGAGAAACACTGGAACTGCTGAAGGGAAAACTAGTAATGCCAATATGGGGTCTGTTTTTGTCTTTAAAGAAACCAAAGAATTGTTTACAAATTTTTTTCCATTCTTGCTGGATCCCCCCTCAGATAGCTATGAGCAGCTTCATTCCTGCTACGAGTTTAAGGGGGCTTAGGAGATGGGGCCTACAGACTGCAGTGAAGTAGAGAGGTTCCTTCTGTTGTAGGATTCACAATTCACAACTTCCAGCGGAGTTCTACACCTGTGTTTCCCATTTTGCTTGACTGAGATATGCCAGAAGAGTTGTTCTAACTGCTCTCTTTCTTGTTTTACAGCATAAAAATCAATGCCTTTTCATTTCCAAATACTTCCTTAGCCTTCGTGCCTGGGGTGGGAATCAAAGCACTGACCAACCACGGCACTGCCAATGTCAGCACCAACTGGGCGGTCAAGTCTCCACTCTTGTGAGTATTCCCCTGAAGTGTCTGGGGCTGTTCTAGGGAAGAAATAGAGCAGAAGTGGAGACTGCCTCAGTGCAACAGTACTGTCAACGTTAGGCTTCTCTCATATTCGTAGTTATCTCAAGAGTATTTTTTTCCCAAATGAGATTAATCAGAGAATCCCTGCTTGGGTGGCGATGGGGTGAAAAGAACCCATCTCTTAAGGACAGAACAGCTGATCAACTGCCCTTTAAGATCTAAGAGCCACAAATCCTCAGCTGTTGGGGGGGTAGACATGTGCTCAATATCCTAACTACACCACAAATCACTGCATGATTTCGAGCCAGTCATTCAGCACACTTGCCCATCTGCAGGGGCAGCTGATGGGAAACGGAGCCCTCCAACCTCCCACAGCGGTTGAGCCTATTTCTTCCCCAACCAAAAGACCTTTGCACCTTAGTATAGGAGAAAGGAGGAAAACTGAAGGCGCACTGATAGATGACCTACTACGTGCAAGTCACTGTCCTGAGTGTAATGTTTAGGTCTGTCTTGGTTGGTGCCCCAAAATAAGACACTCATTCATCCTCTGAGTCACTCAACAACCACTTATTGGGCGCCTGCTGTGGGTTATTTATCCACATCTCAAGCACTCCAGCCTTGATGCTTGCAAAGGAACGCGTGTCCCCCCCTGGGCAATATGTATTCACGTATTCACTCGTTTCTTTGATGACTGACTCTTCATAGATCAAATGCGTTTTCTGTATCGGGTCACAAGCTAAGTCCTGGGGACATGTCCACTCCCTTGAGGGGTCACAGACTACAGCCTCCCCATCTGTGCCCCTCCTGAACAAGCTGTTGCCAACTTTGCCCCTGATGTCCTCTCTCCAAAAAATATCACCTGTGAATGGTGCTCAAGCACTACCAGGGCCAGAGCACTCGGGTAAACAGCTACAATACCCCAAAAGCTGTCACCATTCGCATATCTGCTACTTCATTTGTTCAGTGCATATTCACTTAGCACCTACTTTGCTCCTACCTGTTGTAGGTGCCAGGAATCCAGAGGTGAACATGACCAAGTCTCTGCCCTCCAGGAGCTTAGAGTCTCTGGGTAATCAGAGAAGCAGGATCCACCTCCATGCCTGGCCCAGACTAGGGTAACCTTGCACTTTTTCTCTGAACAGCAAAGACGCAGGAGGAGCAAATCTGTTCCTCTCCGGGGTCTACTTTACTGGTAACATTATCCTAAACCGAAATGACTTTGGTCAGCCTCTCCTGAAGCTTGAAGACTGCTATGCCCAAGTGAGCCATGCCCACGTCTCATTTTTTGGACAGTTCAGGTGAGTGAGAGCTCTATGATAAGAAATGGCTAGCCCGGGGCCAGATTCTCAGGCGGTACCTACCAGAGGTGTATGGCCATCATGTGATGGTCCCTGAATATATTTTTCTGTCTTGTTTTCCTAGTGTCCTGTATAACTCCTTTGCTGAGCCCATGGAGAAACCCATTTTAAAGAACTTAAATGAAATGGTAAGTCTTTAAAGTTTAGACAACCACAGTAAAATGGTATCAGTACCAGTTCTACCAGGTTTAATTAATTCTTAGTCAGTAAATCTTTGCTGAGCACCCGCTCTGTGTTAGATACCTTCCAGAGCACTTTGACACATATTGTCCTTTGCAACTTAATAAGTTTCTCAAAACCCTACCATGTGCCTAACACTGTGGCAAGTGCTAGGGATTTAGAGATAAACAAAGCAGCATCCCCTCCCTCAGGCTTTTTGCTACAGAGTGGACAAATAATCAACAAGAATTTACTTGTTATATACCTACTGTATTCCAGCACTGGACTGGAGTCTTGAGAATATCAACGAGGAATAAACTTCTCTATTTAGAAAGTGAGGTTTCAAACAGAAATGGGAAGAGGATGAATTCTGTCACATGGTCATTGGATTGAACAGAAACATTCAGAGAAATGGGGACCTGCGTGTGTCCCGGGAGATACTTTTGAAGGACGCACGGCTTGAGCTGGGCCTTGGTGTTTAGTAGGACTTGGGTAGGTAAGGAAGAAGAGAGACGAGAAGATATGAGTATTTACAGGCAACAGAATAAGTTAAGAAAGTAGAATAATGTTAAGAAGCCTTCCAAAGCTGTAGGCGTCCTGATTCCAGGACTCAGTGAGGAAGGGAAAGATGAAGTTGGCTAGGCACTCTCTTTCCATCCCCTCATGTCTTCCCTGTGCCTTTATTTACCCCGTGTTTTGGGAAGGACCAGCACAGGGATGAAGAGGGCTGGCAATGAAGGGAGACTTCCGGAGAAGAGGGCAAGGATGGTGCTTGCTCAGCTCAGTGCTTAGCAGACAAAAGGTGCTTGAGGAAAGTCGGCGAGGAAGTCAACACTCAGTAACATCACGTAGCTTGTCCCGGAGGTGGCAGAGCTGGCCAGGGGACTTGAAGCTTCCTAGTCTTTCTGCATCCCTCCCTGAGAGGGACTGAGCGCCAGTGAGTGTGCACATGATTCTGTCACCGGGAAGGACCCTGCATCTGACCTCTTCTCTGTGTGAAATAGGGCACGGTGCTTTGGCCTCTGGCAGGATGCCAAGGAAGGATGAATTGTGCACAGTGGGCAGCAGCTAAGCAGGCCTCTAGTTTATGCGTGGCTTAGAGATAATGGATGCTTTGCTTCCGTAGTTCTGTCTGTGCCACTGGAAAATGGAAAAGACGGCTCAGACCACAGCTGCGTCAGATCAGATGTCAAATCCCAGCTGTGTGATTTGTGGGAACTCACCTTCTCTTAGCTTTGATTTTCCCCTGTGTTCATAGGGGCGAGTAGTGCCTGCCCCTTAATGCTGTAGAGAGGGATTGAAAGAACCACAGCCAACATTTCCTGGGTGCTCATTATGAGCTGGCGGTTCTCCATGGATTGCCTTGATGTCTACTTACTGCATTGCAGATGAGGAAATTGAGGCCGGAGTCCAGGGAACTGGCCAAGGTTCACCTCCAGGTGCCTAGACTTTCAAGCCTTTGCTATCACCACTGTGCCAAGCACATCAGTGAGCAAGCAGCAGGCACATCCTACAGATAAGCTTTAGCCCCATTCAAGACTAAGATTTCTGAATAGATCTCTCGTAGGAGGGGCTCTCAAACTAGCCCAGGGGGGTAAGTAAAATCTCTAAAACCACTCCCGAAAACCACTCCCAGCAGGACATGGAGCTGCTGATAGAGAATGGGAGGCGGGCAGCACCCCCAGCCATTAGGAAAGATGCAGTTGCTCCCGCAACAGGTTCGTCAGGTGCAACAGCAACTGCATGGTCGGTGGCACATGCCCCATCATGCCACCGAGAGAAAGGCCAAGGGCTCACTCTTTTATGGGGCTCAGCAGGTGTGGCCGCAGTTGCTATGAAGATGAGCCAGCATTCAATGACTTAATGCCCAGACCGTCGGAACTTGAGGCTCATGGGCATCCGCGGATTTTAGGGAAAGTCTTGATGACCAAAGGGATAATACACCAGTAGTGGCTTTTGTTTCAATAAATAATCTGCTTTTTTTTTTAAATTCCTTTCATGGCCAGCTCTGCCCCATTATCACAGGCGAGGTTGAAGCACTGAACGTCAATCTCAGCACACTGGAGGGTGAGTCCCAGAACTGTCTCTTCTGTCTGGTTCTCGTCCCACCTCCAGGTGGGCCTCGCTCCAGCTTTCTCTCTGCTGTCCACTCCGCACACTGGAGCCCCTGCAAGATGTGTGGAAGGACATGCCCCGTGTGTTGAGCATATGCACTTTGCCGACCAACTACACCACTGCAGGAGGAGACGGGGTGCTCTTCAGGGTGCTCAACCCTCACGGGCTCTGACGCCAGCTTCGGCGTTAAAGCCGTCTTCTTCAGAATGATTCACACTAATGACCAGACTGCTGCCTTCTTCTCACCCCTTCAGTGCTGTGTCCCAGCTCCCCTCACCTCTGCCCACCTCCTCCTGCCCGTTCTCTGCTCCAGCAGGCACGCTGCTCCTGCTGCCTCCCTGCCCGGAAGAGCTTCCTCTGCCTCCATCCATTTAGTCCTGCAACAGAGAGTTACTGAGCGCCTGTTTCTCTGCGAATCCCTCAAGAACAATCCTTTGCGCTCCACCTGTCGGCCTTCACTTGTCCTGTTCACTCCTCTTGGTCTTCAAGGCTCAGCTCTGGCACAGTCTCTTCCGAGATCTCCTACCTGACGGCCCCCACTCCACGAAGTCGCCCCTTCTCTGTACTCCCATGCTCCCTCACACACGTCTCTCTCTCTTTGCACTCTGTTCATCCTTTTGCCCAAATAGATTGGGCACTGTTCTTGGTGCTGGGGGTACAGTAGAATGCCCAGGAAACCAAAATGCTTGCCCTCCTGGGAATAGTGGGGCATGGGTGGAGACAACAGAAAGCAAGACTCTGTGTGATGGCAGTGATAAGCAGAAACAAGAAAGCTAAAGGAGAGCTGAGCTGGGGAAGGGTTTGTGTGCTACACGGTGTGGCCAGGAAAGGCACCACTGACAAGAAGAACCTGAAGGGAGCAGGAATGAGGCGCTGCTAAGTCTGGATGAGGAACACACCAGGCAGAGGAAACGCACGCACACAGGCCGTGCCGCAGGAGCAGGTCCAGCACGTTGGGGGAATTGCAAGGAGGCCGTCCCAGGAGGGGTCTGGGACAAAGTGGCAGGAGGCGAGGTCCGAGGTGGGTGCGTGGATGATTAGATTTTCAGGACTGCAGGTCACTAGGAGGTCCCCCTCTCACTCTGAGATGGGAAGTCTTGGGGAGTTCTGGCAAGGCCTGCATGCTCTGACCTGCACTGTGAGCAGATCCCTCTGGCTTCTGTCCTGACAGACAGGAAGGAGAGCGGGGCAGGGCAGCAGGGAGACCACTCATGAGACCGGTGCAGTGACCCATCTGAGCAGGGGTGGTGCTGCTTCAGGAGCAGGGGTAAAGGCAGCAAGTCAGGTTCAGGCTCTGGCTGATCCCGAGGGTACAGAGGCGCTATTTGCCAATAGACCAACGTGCGTCACAAGAGGAATCAGGAAGACACTTGGCTCTACCCTAAGCAACCAGAGGGTTGGAAGAAAGAACTTGGCCTCTACAGACAGGGAAGACTGTAGGAGCAAGTTTGTCTTAGGATCATCCAGATCTCAGTTTTAGATCTGCTCTCACGATAGTATTTATAATTTCCTATTTATTCATCTGTCTCCCTCTACCCCAGACTAAGAGTTCTGTGGGAGCAGAAAGTTTGACTCTTTCCCCCAGCATCAGGCACAGGGCCTAGCTCATCCTGGTTAATAAATATTAGACTGATGAAGGGATGGGTGAACATGATCAGGCTGCAGAAGCTGGGAAAGAGAAAGAAGACACGGTGAGGAGAACTGGTGGAGGATTCTCATGACCTAACTTGCCTCAGGCAAGTTTCTGTACCTCTGAGCCTCACTCCCCCAACCTATAAAAGAATTACTGTCTGGACATTTTTAAAACTATAGCAATAGAGAGTAATGCCTTGCCTTGTTCCCATACCTTAGCAAGCCACTTCATCCCTTCTTGCTTCTCATCTCTATAGAACTAACTAACATAACATGCAAGAAGAGAAGAGGTGACACACAGGCAGGCACCTTCTCTAGAACAGGGAGGAAGTCTTCAACCACAGAACACAGGGCCGTGGTCAGGAGGGCGGCTCTCTCAAGCCAAGTTCAGAAGGCTGAGGACCGCAACACTGCAACCTGTCTGAAATCCATCCTCCCAGATGCTCCACCCACCACTGTCCCCTGGGCCTCCTGCCTTCTGCTTGGTTCTGAAAATTATAATGTAAAAATAAATTGATGGCATGGTGCACAATAATTTCCTTGGCCTTTGCAACTTAGTGGTTTTATTTCCCCTCACAATGTCACTTTTTAAAAAATTATATCTGGCCGGCGCCGCAGCTCACTAGGCTAATCCTCCGCCTAGCGGCGCCGGCACACCGGGTTCTAGTCCCGGTCGGGGCGCCGGATTCTGTCCCGGTTGCCCCTCTTCCAGGCCAGCCCTCTGCTGTGGCCAGGGAGTGCAGGGGAGGATGGCCCAGGTGTTTGGGCCCTGCACCCCATGGGAGACCAGGAAAAGCACCTGGCTCCTGGCTCCTGCCATCGGATCAGCGTGGTGCGCCGGCCGCAGCGCGCCAGCCGCGGCGGCCGTTGGAGGGTAAACCAACGGCAAAAGGAAGACCTTTCTCTCTGTCTCTCTCTCTCACTGTCCACTCTGCCTGTAAAAAAAAAAAAAAAAATTATATCTAATTGCAACAGTAATGCATACTCATTGTAAAAAAAATAAGTGGAGTTCTAACTGCATAGAAATCTGTAACATTAACTTTGAAAACCTCTTATTATATCAACCTAATATATGACTTAATATTGTTAAGGGACTCCGTGCTAATTTCCTATAGAACTACAAGTATACATGTATTGTGTGTGTGCACCTACATATGGCTAAAATAATATACACCAAAATGTTACTGATGTGTCTCTCAGGGCAATGTGATTGAGAAAGAGTTTTACTTTCTTCTTTTGACTTAGACACTTTTCCTGATTTTTTAATAGGGAGCACATATTACTTGTGAAAAGAATTGATATTTTAAACAGATTTAAAAATTAAATTTTTTCCTTGATATTTTCATATATCATACCATGCTTTAATGAATGTAGATTTTCTTTTTTATTGTCATTCCTGTAGTCCTAACCAAGATTGACAACTACACTCTTCTGGATTATTCCATAATCGATTCTCCAGAAATTACTGAGAACTCCCTTGACGTGAATTTTAAGGTAACTTTTTTTAAAAGATTTATTTATTTGTTTAAAAGACAGAGTTACACATAGAAAGAGGGAGAAACAGAGAGACAGAGATCTTCCATCCGCTGGTGCACTCCCCAAATGGCTACAAAGGCCACAACTGGACCAATCCAAAGCCAGGAGCCAGGAGCTTCATCTGGGTCTCCCAAGTGGTTGCAGGGGCCCAACAACTTGGGCCATCCCCCACTGCTTTCCCAGGCCATTAGCAAGGAGCTGGATCAAAAGTGAAGCAGCCAGGATTTGAACCAGCACACATATGGGATGCCAACACCACAGGCAGAGGCTTAACCTACTTCACCACAGCACTGGCCCCAAAGGTAATTTTCTCATCATCAGAATTCTCACTCTGGCTGTCAACAACCAAAATTTAGAAAATGTAGGTTGTATGCAGAAGGAAATACACATAACATGCTCTTCAAATCATTTTATTTTCTTTCAAGCAACTCAAGTTTATGTCTTTTCCAAAAATTCTCTCTCTTTTTTTTTAAAGATGTTATTTATTTATTTATTTATTTATGTATTTATTTGAAAGGCAGAGTTACAGAGAGGCAGCGGCAGAGACAGAGAGAAGTCTTCCATCTGCTGGTTCACTCCACTCATGACCACAACAGCCCAAGCTGAGCCAATCCAAAACCAGGAGCCTAGAGCTTTCTCTGGGTCTCCCATGCGGGTGCAGGGGCCCAAGTCCTTGGGCTATTTTCTACTGCTTTCTCAGGCCATTGCAGAGAGCTGGATCAGAAGTGGAACATCCAGGATTCGAACTGGCGCCCATATGGTATGCCAGCACTGCAGGTGGCAACTTTACCCACTACGCCACAGCTCCACCCCCCACCCCAAAGACGATTGAACACTTTACTGATGGGCCAGTGATCGTTTGGATTGCACAACCTGTGTCTTCCTCTTTCAATAGACTTACCAGGATGTCTTGGCCTCTGGGAGTAGGTCTGAGACTAAGAGCCATCAAGGGAGTGATCTGCATTTGTTATAAAGTAACACATCAGTAGATTGTACATATTAGTTCCTCTGCTCCTAACTCTCAGGTTGGTGGATTTAACTGAGAGCAGCCGACTTCTGTCACGGAAATGATGTTTGCTGAAGCTGATCATGGGAAAGTGATCATTGTGCTGATACTTAATTTTACTTCAAAGTTCATTGTCAATTGGAGTGAGTTTCAGCTTATATTTCACTCATGCAGACTTTGAAATAAGTTTGATGTTGGATAAGACTATTTTTAAATTAAGTCCCTACAGCTAACAAAAGCGTTAGGAATGCCACAAAATACTTTAAACCATTCAGAGTTCTGGGTCCTTCTGAGTCTTTCTGTGATGTCCCGCATACACAAGTCATGGATTTTGAAGGTTAAAAGTTTGACACCTTTATGTGGCACCTCCTGCCTTTGTTTGAGAAAAGGGCCGGTTAGAAGCCCCTCACTGAGTTACACCCCAGGGTGGACAGACACCCAGATATGCTCAAGAATCCTCAGAGCTTTGAAACATTGTCACCAGTCAAGGAGTCAGAGGCCTTACGATGTTATCCTGCCGAGTTTCTGGAATTTTTCTCATTCTGACTTGAGAGGGCCCACCTCCTCAGTCCGGCTCGCCGAGTTTTCCCCCAGTACACTGGTCTTTCTGTCTTCCCACAGGGCACCTTCTACCCTCTGGAGAACCTTGTCGACCCCCCCTTCTCACCAGCTCCTTTTGTGCTGCCCGAGCGCAGTGACTCTATGCTCTACATTGGGATCTCGGAGTACTTCTTCAAATCTGCATCTTTTGCTTATTACACAGCGGGGGCTTTCGATGTCACGTTCTCCACCAAAGAGGTGAGCAGAGTTAACGAATGATGACAATGACGTCATAATTCCACCTTCTTATCCACATCACATTGTGGGATTTTTAGGTCGTGGTTTTGGTTCCTGGACCTTTTTAAGCTGTCACTGTTAGCAGGACAACGAATGAAGGAATTGTGGGATGAATGTTGTTATTATCTGGGGATTTGTTGGGTTTCCAATTATGCTAATTTCAATTTTTTTCATGACATCTGACCATTGTTCCAGATACATCTTAAATATACCAAGACCCCCTCCACCAAGTATTGACAGTAACTCTCAGTAATTGCAACATATTTAACTTCCGTTTGCCAGAGTGTCCTCATTTTGGAAGAATATAAAAGGCAATGATAGCTCCATGCTCAAAGGGTCAGTGTGGACATCCAGATGTTCAAATACACGTGGAGCATTCAACCCACGCCTAGCACGGAGTAAGAGCCACTTAATGGCCACGTATCACCACCGTGGCTATAACTCCTTTCGTTCCACCAATTTAAAGATTGCCCCTGGTGGTAATGACAACTGACTTAGCTGAGGAATAGGACAGCTAACTCTCTTTGCCGTGTGTTTCCACTTTATAATGAGAATTATCTCTCCTACCAGTAAACCAAAATCTTTAATTGAGACTTCCCCTTTGAATCTTCTCATTCTCTACATCTTAATAATATAGTAGTTATAAGTCAAATTGGTAAGTATGGCTGCACCAGCTTCCTTACAGTGCTGAGAACTGGACACGTTCAGATTCAGATTTGAAATCATTCCCCTGTAAAGGTAAATTAGTTAAGCGTCCCCTGTCTCAGGAACCTCTGAAAATAAGGACAATTGCACCAGACTTGTTGTTAATGACTGTAGGATGTTTTCACACAGTGTGTGTTGGTGGTGGGGAGAGTTTCCAAGTTCAAACGCACTTAAAATGTGTTTAACTTCCTGTGACTTGGACAAATCACTTTACTTCTCTGGACTTCAAATTCCCTATGGTTATGCTATAACAAACATGTTATGCTGTAAATTTCTTGACTCATAAAATCATAAGAAACACATTTCTCTGAAAAGACAATTCAGGTAAAAGCCTTACAGTGGTGTGGTGGTTTTTATTTTTCAGATTTCCAACCATCTCATTCAAAATTCTCAAGGCCTTGGCAACGTGCTCTCCCGGGTAAGTGCTTTGAGTTTGACTCCTTGATCATGTGTTTAGTTTAATTGCAATTACGTCAGGAAGTCTTGTGAGATTTTACACTGTCTTTAAGTCCAAGCATGAATCTATCTTTCCATTACTAGGAGTTTTTTCCTCTTAATAAGATATACACAAATATTTTGTGAACAGTGTGTGTTGAAGTACATTGAAAGTAAAATTAGGGGCCGGTGCTGTGGTGATGCTGTAGTGCTGGCATCTCATATGAGTGCCGGTTCCAGTCCCGGCTGCTCCACTTCCGATCCAGCTCTCTGCTATGGCCTGGGAAATCAGTGGAAGATGGCCCAAGCGCTTGGGCCCCTCCACCCATGTGGGAGACCCAGAAGAAGCTCCTGGCTCCTGGCTTCGGATCAGCCCAGCTCCGGCCGTTGCGGCCATCTGGGCAGTGAACCAGTGGATGGAAGACTCTCTCTCTCTCTCTCTCTGCCTCTCTGTAACTCATCCTTTCAAATAAATAAATAAGTCTTAAAATAAAAAAGTACAATTAAAGGCATTGTAAGTTCGCAAAAGAAATTATCTATTCCTTCCACAAGGTACTGTCACCCTTGAAATAATTAACTTAGAAAAAGGATTTATTAACTTAAATGAAGGATTGGTGTCCTCAATTGTGACTTTAGTAAAAAGGCTATTAGTACCATGCCTTGATAGCATAGTAGGCATTGAACATTAGTCTTGCTCTTAAGGGCAAGGAGATGTTTGTGTAGCATCTTGGTTTTAGAGCAAGCGTATCAAGTTGGGCAGACATAGATTTGAATCCCAGTTCTACCATTTATTCTCTGACAACCTTGAGAAAATATCTCAGCCTCTCTAGGACTCCCCGAATCTATTATAGAACAGGGATCCTTGTAGAATCTGCCTCACAGGGATTCTGTGAGGATGAAATGAGATCATGCCTAAAGTCTCTCGCGCAGTGCTGGCATGCAGTGTGTGTTCACCGAGGTCAGCTGTTGTTACTGGTTTTGAGTGTGTGTGTGTATGATATTGTTTCTATTAAAAAGTTTCGTTGTATTTTAGCTGTATTATGTAAGACTTAATCATTGGCTGGCGCCGCGGCTCACTAGGCTAATCCTCCGCCTAGCGGCGCCGGCACCCCAGGTTCTAGTCCCAGTCAGGGCGCCGGATTCTGTCCCGGTTGCCCCTCTTCAGGCCAGCTCTCTGCTGTGGCCAGGGAGTGCAGTGGAGGATGGCCCAGGTGCTTGGGCCCTGCACCCCATGGGAGACCAGGAAAAGCACCTGGCTCCTGGCTCCTGCCATCAGATCAGCGCGGTGCGCCGGCCGCAGCGCACTGTCCACTCTGCCTGTCAAAAAAAAAAAAAAGACTTAATCACCATAGCTCACCCCAAATTTGTGATTTCCCCCCATCAACCCCGACTCCCAATCTCTGTTTCTTTCCCTGCACATCGGCAGATTGCAGACATCTACATCTTGGCCCAGCCCTTCATGGTGCGGATCATGGCCACAGAGCCTCCCATTATCAACTTACAACCGGGCAACTTCTCCCTGGACATCCCTGCCTCCATCATGATGCTCACCCAACCTGAGAACTCCACTATGAAAACCATCGTGTCCATGGACTTTGTAAGTTTGGGGGACAGGAGGGCAGCCTGTTCCCTGTTCCCACCATGGACCTGGACCATTGGAGGCATGGGGAGTGAGGCCACAGTTAAGACTGCAGGGAGGGGTGTGTGGAGGGAGGGAGGCAGGCCAGCACTCACACCCCACTCATTGCATAAAACCTTGCCAGTCTCTACCTCCTGTGTGCCCTTCCTCCTACCTCAGTCACATGGACAGCTGCGTTTCTTTTTTATTTCAAATAAGACAATCAGGTAGCACTCAAATTTACTTGATCAGATGAAGTTCAAATTTAATCTGGTAGACAGGAACTAATATATTGAACTTAAGCAAAATGTCATACTTACATACACACACCCCATCACATACATGAAGAAGAGATAACAGAAAAGAAAAAAATAATCATTTAAAGGAGGTCCTCAAACAAAAAGTCTTTACAGTATTTATAGTTTTCTCACCTGCAAGAAAGAATTTTCAGAGCAGTTTCTTCCCAATTTCTTTTAGAGTCAAAGGAATTATATGTGTGGCCAAAGTGAACAGATCCTCTTATCTTAGTCATGAAAGCTTTTGTTGTCTGCAGGTTGCGAGTACCAGTGTTGGCCTGGTTATTTTGGGACAAAGACTTATCTGCTCCTTGTCTCTGAACAGGTAAGATCTATTGGTTTGATTTTATGATTGTTGAAAGCTACAGTAACAATGGAGTCCACAGACCATGGGAACAAAGCAACCCTTAAGAGAAAAATTGAAATCATTTCATGAATGCAGGTCAGGTAGTGCTTCTCCTGTACCACTAGGTAAATTCGAAGTGCGGGCTTAATTAAAAATTGCATGTGGTGTTTTTCTCTTTTTTAAGATTTATCTTATTTATTTGAAAGGCAGAGTGAGAGAGAGAGAGAAACTGTGAGAAAATGAGATCTTCCATTTGCTAGTTCACTCCCCAAATGGCAGCTATGGCCAGGGCTAGGCCAGGCTGAAGCCAGAAACCAGGAGCTGCATTCTGGTTTCCCTTGTGAGTGCAGGAGCCCAAGCACTTGGGCAGGCTTCTGCTGCTTTCTCAGTTTCATCAGTAGGAAGCTGCATCAGAAGTTGAGCAGCTGAAACTCAAACTGGCAGCCATTAGGGATGCGAGCATTGCAGATGGCGGCTTAAGTGTGATGTCACAACATTGACCCTGAGGTTTTCTTTTTCTTTCCCATTGGAGTAGTGTTAAGATAAATGGGGGAACAAAAGAATTGAAAACAGAAGTCCGTAATGTAAGTGCACGTTCTGATTAATGGTATAGCTGTATGAAGTTCCTTTTCATCAAATTCAGACAGTGATGAAGTTTGAGGGGTTAAGGAACCAAGTTTCAGACCCCTGCTCACTGGCTCTGTAACCAGCATCAAGCTTATGGACCTCCTTCAGCCTCAGTTTCCTTCTCTATGAAACAGGAAAGTTGGACTGGATCAAGTCTAAGGTGCCGTCAGACTCTGACAACCCGATCCATTACTAGAACAGAGTGGAACAGGGTCTTGCCCCACAGTGAATGGGCATGGGCAGGTCATATGCAGCACGTAGGCCTTTGGACAGGAACTGCCATTTGGAAGGGCCTTCACATGGTCCATTTTCCTCTACCCTAAAAGGCTGAGGGTTGAAGGCATGAATTAGACTACCTGGGGGGGGGGGGGATTTGCAGAGATCAGACTAAATTCATGGAAGGAAGAGAAGGAAGTGATAAAACAGACTTAAAGCAGAATTGACGGGGCCGGCGCCGTGGTTCACTTGGTTAATCCTCCACCTGTGGCGCCGTCTGCCCATATGGGCGCCGGGTTCTAGTCCTGGTTGCTCCTCTTCCAGTCCAGCTCTCTGCGTGTGTGCATGTGTCTGGCTTACTGGCAGGGTCTGGAGGAAGGACCAAGGATGGGACTTCAGGCTGTGCAGCCAGGTGGGAAAGGAGCAAGGAGACCAGACTCCCTTCTCAGCTCCGTAGAACTGACCACGGAGGTCTCTGCAAGACCACCGGCCCCCACCACATTCCTACCAGCATGTTCAGTGGGCATGACACTTATTTTTAGGAGGTACTGAACAATGGATGTTGATCCTCTTGAATTCCTAAGAAGGGCGTGAATTCATTCTCCAGCTTCCTACAGTCCATGGCCTGATGGACACAAACAATGAAGTTAGGGTCCTGCCATGCGGCCCATTCCCCTGGGAGCTCCCCTGAGATTCGGTGCTGAGGTTTCCTGTCCCCTCATGCCTTAGGGGTTCTGAGCAGGACCCACTACATAATTTGGGGGATCCACTGCAAAATGAAAATGTAAGGTCCCTGTTCAGAAGTATTATTACATATGGGATAGTGGAGCATTAAATCCATTGAGGGGCCTTTCTGAGACGCATCCCTGTTCCATGACCACTATGTCAGGATGGTACCTGCAGGACTGCCAAAGTGACCTGAGGCCGTGAGCAGACTGGAGGCAGGAAGGTGGGCCAGGCCTCCCTCAGGCCGCAAGCAGCCAGACCGAGAGCAAGACTTTGCAAAGCAGCCAGGCAGTGCCGAGACAGCAGCTGGGGCCTTTGGCAGCAAGAGCAGCGCTCTGCTTCCCACGTGGGCCGCCCCAGCCAGCTCCTCCACTTCTGGCTCCGCACGCGCTGCTTTTCAGGACAAGCTGGTTTGGTGCTGGGTGATGTCCAGCAGGAAAGGTGTAACTGGGTGGGGATCGGTGGAACGTCTCTGAGAAGAGCCAAGGAGTACAGTGTTCTCAAAGAAGCTCCCAGGAATGCCTTGGCCTTCTGCCTGAAGGTGTCTCTTCCTGGAGCAGCAGAGGGCTAGCTGTGTAGACAGAACTACAGCGGGACAGGTGTAGACAGGCAGTGAGGTTATCAGACTCATGGAGTTCAGATCCAAGCCCTGCCATTAGTTAGCTGTGTGTTCTCAGGCAAATTACTTAACCTCTCTCTCTGGGTGTCTGCTTCCTCCTCTCTGAAGTGATTATATAATAAAACCTCCAGGAGGCTGATGTGAGAAATACATGAGCTAGCCCACATAAAGCATGTGTTAAGTACTCAAGAAATGTTGGCTGTGATTAGGATTTGAAATTTGAGGCTAGCCTCAGCCAGGAAAAGGCATTCAGTTATACAGCATGATGTCAAGTCCCTCTGTGCAGAGTAACACCTCACTCCCCTGTCTGCTGCCCTGTGCTGCTAGGAGAGAAGGCACCTTCTGTTCCACAGTTTTTAACGGTCACTGGGTTTTTATTGTCTACGAGGTCGTGTGCCATGCAGAGCACATGTATTATTTTATTTAAACCTTACAATTCTGAATCTCCAGGGTCTACTACAGTGTTAAAAAAATGTCTTGGGGGTAGATATTGTCCCCATTTTACAAAGAGGTTGTTTAGCTTATTCATGGTCACCAAGCTATTGAGTGGTGAAGCCAGAACTTGAGCCTGCATGAGCCTGTTTTTAAAGCCATAAGTGTTTGCTTCCTACATTCTACTGTCTTTGATGTTATAAAGAGCCAAAACTTAGAAAACGAGACTTACGGGCAGGCCTTTGGCCTAATAGTTGATGCCAGTTGGGGTGCTGCTTGCATCCCTTATCAGAGTGCCTGGGTTAGAGTCCCAGCTCTGCTGTCAATTCCAGTTTCCCATTAATGTGCACGCTGGGAAGCAGCAAGCGATGGCTTGCATCTGTAGGTCTCTGCCATCCCCTAGGAAACTCAGATCCAGTTTCCAGTTCCCAGCTTTAACTCAGTCCAACCGGGGAGCAGATGGGAGCACTCTCATTCTCTCTCTCCCTGACTTAATTGATTATTGTATTGAAAGAAGAAGGAGGAGACATTGGAACTGAGTGTCTGGAAATGGAAAAGCTACGCAGCTGTTTTCCCATTGCTTTAAGGAATCAAGGGGAAGACAGGCTGGCCGTGCTAATAAACCTGACTTCTCTGAGCATGTTGACGGAAAAGCACACTCTCTGGAGATGGGCACCCCGGGCTGGGATTCTACCTATGACCTGTCAGGGGTGTGACCTGAGCAAATGACTTGACCTCTTTTTTTTTTTTTTTAATTTTTTTTGGACAGGCAGAGTTAGACAGTGAGAGAGAGAGAGACAGAGAGTTATAGACAGTGAGAGAGAGAGACAGAGAGAAAGGTCTTCCTTCCGATGGTTCACTCCCCTAATGGCCGCTACGGCCAGCACCGTGCTGGTCCGAACCCAGGAGGTGCTTCCCTCTGGTCTCCCATGCGGGAGACCATCCTCCACTGCCCTCCCGGGCCACAGCAAAAGAGCTGGACTGGAAGAGGAGCAACCGGGACTAGAACCCAGTGTGCCGGCGCCGCAGGTGGAGGATTAGCCTAGTGAGCCACGGCGCCGCCCAACTTGGCCTCTTTAAAGTACGAGTTTCTCATGCTCAGCAAATGCTCAGCAAAACAGCACCCCTCTCCATAGAGTCACGTGGGCCAGTGAGCTAATGTAGCACAACACTCAGCATACCGTCACCACTCAAGAAATGTTCATCGTGGTGGCAGTATTGCATTCTATTTTCCCATTCTAGCATCAAAGTTTGGCCAAATAAGAGAGAGGAAAAGGTCCCAAGAGACGTGACAAGTCAGGAGGGTCCTAAAAGCCATGTTATTACTCTATCTGCAACAGAGCCTCTTTTCCAAACGCAGTTTTGTTTGGAGACAACCCCAGGAAAGGTTTGGCCATTTAATTGACATGTTTGAGGTTAATGTAGAGGCTAATTTACATGACACTTTCCCTTCTTTGGGCCTCATTTGATGACTTAGCTCTAACCCTGTTCTCTTAATTGCATGCAAAGCTGAAGACAATCAAATGCGCATTATTATTGAACCATTTAGAACTCTAGGACTTTCTTTGACTTTGTTTCGTCTGAGGTTTTGGATGCTCACAAACTGCCCCACCCTGCTACCATCAACACACACAAGCACGTGCATGCGAGTACACCCTACCACCCCTCCCGGGCAACACAGCCAGATAACACAAACACAGCTGACACCAGGCAGATGGAATCGCTGCCTAACCCACTCCTCACAGCTTGGGCAGATAAACATTCCCCAACGTGAGCCATCTGGACAGAAACCCAGCAAAGAAAACAGGCCAGGAAGGATGGACTCACAGTTGCCGCTGGGATCTTGCCTCGAACAGGTTGGTGGACTCCGTGTGGGCACCTGGGCTGGCCCCTATCTCTACCCTTCCTCTGGGCTACTGATGAAGCCAGGGCAGAGGAAGACCACAGCAAGGTGGCCCCCAACGGAAGAGGAAGTCCCCAGTGGATCCTTCTCCCAGACACGTTGTGGGAATTCCCAAGTTGCGGGAGGTAGTGTGGTTACAACCCTGGGGAGCTCTCCCTCACCAGGAAGGTCCTTTCAGAGTCCCACGCATCCCTTCCCCAGAACCTTTCACTGTGCATTCAGTCCATGCGCTCAGCTTTCTAAGCTCTTAAACTGCTTGTCCTACCTTGCACTCCAGCCACGTTTACCTTCTACAGCCCCCTAAAATGACCACCACTTCCAGACTGGCTGACCCTCAAAGTGACCCCAATTCCAGTACCTATGCCCCACCCGTCTTGTTCTGGTCATGTACTCATGCTTCCTGAGTAAGAATTTATTAAGCACCTGTTCTGTCCCCTGCACTGCTGTTAACACAGAGTGGACAGTGGTTCCTATCCTCCGTGCCCACAGGCAGATGGGAGCAATGCTCAGATTAACAGGCAATGGCTGGCCGGCGCCATGCCTCACTAGGCTAATCCTCCGCCTTCAGCGCTGGCACCCTGGGTTCTAGTCCCGGTCGGGGCGCCAGATTCTGTCCCGGTTGCTCCTCTTCCAGGCCAGCTCTCTGCTGTGGCCCAGGAGTGCAGTGGAGGATGGCCCAAGTGCTTGGGCCCTGCACCCCATGGGAGACCAGGAGAAGCACCTGGCTTCGGATTAGCGCGGTGCACCGGCCACAGCGGCCATTGTGGGGTGAACCAATGGAAAAGGTAGACCTTTCTCTCTCTCTCTCTCTCACTGTCCACTCTGCCTGTCAAAAAACAAACAAACAGGCAATGGCAAGGCTGGCTGCACAGGGACACACTGGAGGTGGCTACAGAGTGCTCTCTCAAAGGACAGCTGGTTTTCCTCCCAAGACATTCCCCATCTCTCTCTCTCTCTCTCTCTCTCTCTCTCTCTCTCTCTCTCTCACACACACACACACACACACACGCCAATAGCGCCGGCTGGTTTCTTCACCTTTATACTCCTTTCCGGCATTCCTGCAGCAAGTCTGCGCGGCGCATTAATCCCCAAAGGGGCACCTAGGTCACACTGCCTTGTTTGTTCTGGCTGCTTCCTGCGCACAGGGTCCCTCCATCCCCCACAGCGGTAGACACAAATGAAATCCTGCGCACTGCCCAGCACGTTACTGAGCACAGAATGAGAACCTGGGAAACCTCTGACCTGCCATTCTCTTCCCCATCCTGGAGACAAAGTGATATTTACACATCTTTCTTCTTAGAAACTGTCAGCGGATTCCTTGCTCTTCAGGTTAAAGATTCAAATCCTAACATGGCCTGAGTCACCCAGCCTGGTCAACCCCCATAGGCCTCTCCGGCATAGTCAGGCTGCACTGTCCCTCCAGGAAGGATGATTTGACCAGTATCGGCCTCCCCTACGAGGCTGGGCTACCTGAGAACAGTGGCCATACCTGGTTCTGCTCAGTCCTGTCTCCAGCAGCACCTGTCCCAGTTCTGACACATATTAAGTGCACAATAAATACCGGTTGGGCGAATGAATGAATGAATGAACGAACACTCAGTGCCGAAATGTGCTCAACCCAACTTTTGCAATACAAAGACGACTGAGTCTGATTTCCACCCTCGGAGGGTTCCTAGTCACTGAGCAAAGACACAAACAAGAGTTCACAGGGTATTGGGGGGGGGGGTTGGTTTTCAACGTCTGCTGTGGACAGGTGGCTGGAAGAATGACATTAGTAGTGCTTTTGACACTTGACCTTCCTTATGTCCTATTTACAAGATGAACCCAAATCACAAAACAAACAAACAACCTTTTACCACACTTAAGCATTTGCACTCTAGCTCTGGTTTCAGTCTGGGCAATAAATCTCTGAGACTTTTTAAATAGGTCACACTTTAGTATGTCTGCACAGCAGGGCCAAGTGAGCTCTCTTCCCCAGAGTCCACGATTCAGCGCTAAGAGTTGGCTCCTAATAGCAGGGCTTTCCTAACAACTCCGGGGCCTGGTAGAGGATGAAAAAAATCAAAGCATGGAGGTCGGACGCCACCTAGTGGTCGGCTTGAGCTTAGCTGTTTTTGAGAAACAGGCAAGGAGACACTGTCCTTCTGCTCCACCTGTTTTTCTCCAAGTCTATTAGAAACCCAGCCTGGCAAGGGTGCCTGGAGCACTTGGAAAGAGAAGGAAGACGGCCATGGGAGAAAGGACAGTCTGGTTCATGGGAAACCCCAGGCAAGCTCACTCAGAGCAGGCGGTCCCACGGTGGCCAGGAGAGGCTTGGGCTTGTGATGAAAAGACAAGGGAATCTCAAAGGTGTGCTCCACGCTTATGGGAGGCCGAATTTCCAAACCAGAATAGGTCTGCCCATCGTTGAGGGTGGGGTGGCTAGAGGAGGCATTACCTCGGGTTATATCAGCAGCACCTCAAGGAGCCCCTATGGATTCTGGTCCTCATTTCCACTGGCACTGGGTTGAGCCTCAGCGCCAATGATGTCACATACAAGCCTTGGCAGACTTCACTGTTTCTCTGATAGTTATTCTCAGTTGAGTTTGAAGCAGTCTCAAAACCTAGTTCATACTCATATGCTATTGGCTAATAACAAGCAAACATGCTTTTGTGACCCTCTGCTCTTCAGCTGTAGTACAGGGGGCAGGCTTCTGGCATACAAGTGAAGATGCTTCCTGGGACACCCACATGCCCTATCAGAGTACCTGGGTCACGCCATGGCCCCACTCCTGATTCCAGGCTCTGCCAATGCACGCCCTAGGAGGCAGCAGGGGCTGGCTCAAGTAGCTGGGTCCCTGCCACCCATGCGGGAGACCTCAGTTCAGTTCCTGGCTCCTGGCTTTGACCTAGCCTGGATCTGGCTCCTGTGGACATTTGGGGAATAAAGCAGTAGATAGAAGCACTCTCTCTCTTCCTCTTTCTCTGTGCCTTTCAAATAAATTAAACAAAAAGTTTTAAATTGCATCTGTACCAAAACAATGTAGTAACAGAGTAATTCTTGAAAGGCAGCACCTGAGTGCTGGGGACTCTGTCCAGGTCTCTCACATGGGGAGTGAGAGCCACTTCATGGGCCATCACCTGCTGCTCCCCAGGGTGCACAGTAGCAGGAACCTGAATCCAAAGCCGAGTCAGCACTTAAGCCCAGCACTCACATACGGGATGCAGGCAGCCCAACAGGCAACTTAACCACTAGGCCAAACTTCAGCCTTTAATGTCAGATACACTCAAGTTGTCTGGGGTTATGATGAGGAGTCAGGGAAGCTAGAAGGTTGACTCCAGAGCCAGAGGATCTGCAAGCAGTTTCTTGAGACTGTTCTGCACTGCGGGTTGCCCACAGTCAGTCCCGCAGCAAATGTACTTGGCAATGGCTGCGAATACAAGCCTTCTGCTGTCCCTGCTCTGCTTCATAAGCAGCAGGGTGTAGAGGCAGATGCCGTAGAACTCTGCCCGCTTTTTTGCATTTCATTTTTAACAGTGACTTTCTGAACTCTCTTTCCATGAAGGTGGCTGTTGTGAAATCTACCTCCTTTAACTGTTTCCTGTTTCCTTGCAGATTCCGCCTGTCTTTGCCGGAACCCAAACGCAGCAAGATTGAGGTAGGAACAGAGCCCTCGGGTGCCCTTCCTGGAGCAGGAAGCATGAGATCTGCCTAAAAGGGGGTGCTTGTCTCCTGTGCCTCTGAATACTTGATTTCCCCGTGATCGCAGCTTTTAACTAAAGGGATTGAAGGAGGCTTGTTTGAGCACAGCAAGAACTGTGTCCAAGACCATTGCGATAGGGAATAGAAGCACGGCAGTGGAGCTCACCATGGGGCAGGGCGTTGGGCTCAACTCCAGTTACTGCATCAGCTAGGAGGAAGTGACGGCCAAGGAGCAGAGTCTGGGTCAGTGAATGGAAAAGTACTGAGAAAACAAGTAGGGAGACAGGGGGCTCTGGCTAAGCCAGCCTGGCAAGAATCTTGCTGAATCAGACATCACCTAGGGTGTGGTAGAGGATGAGTGCCTTGATCAGTTATCAAAGAATGATTAAGAATCCAGGATGGGGTTCTGGATAAACTGACTTGGGCAAGTTCTTTGCCAAAACTGAAATTTACAAGGAAGGGCCTAGAAGAAGGTTTAGGAGCCTGAATAAAGGTGGGTCAATGATAGGTCTTTGTCAGTAGCTACGTATCTACAGAGCTCATTGCCATTAAACAAGAGAGGGACTCTCCAACTTTATTGATGCAGAAAAACTTTGAAAAGAACTCAGAAGACTATAAGACATTGTATAATGCTGGGAGAACAGGCAACCTTGGAAGACTTTATTTTCTCAAGGAATAATTCTCTAAGGTTAAATTTATAGCCCAAAAACTATAAAATAAATAAATTTATAGCACAAAATCACATAGGAAGAGGTTATATGGAAATTATCAGGCTCTAATTAAGTTTGCTCTTCAAATGCTTTCTGCTCATCTCCTAAAATAAAGTCAAGGTTGACTCTATGGGTACTGGGGGCCTAGGATGGGGCGGCAGGGAGGAGAGCCCATCCTGGTGACTTGCTGGTTAGAAGAGGGACTCCTCAACAGGCGACTTGAGAATCCCTTTCCCCATACTTCAGCAGGGAAAACCCAGTCACCACTTCATTCCTGCATGAGGGCACCAAGCTAGAGAAGTTGGTAGCATGGATTCTGCTATCAGAATGCTTGGGCGGAACTACGCCTAGTTCCTGTGGATGGAACGGGGTGCGGGGGCAGATGACAAGCAAACACGTGGATGAGAGTAAGTCCAGCTAGGCAATACAAGTAGGTATGGGGCTAGGGCTTACAGCCTTGGGGTTGTGGAGAGAATTAGCTGAGGTTGTGTGTGAAATTCACTTAGTGCGCTGAGTACATGGTAGGTCTTAAATTTGAATGATGGCCTTTTTTATAATAATTATTTGAATTCTGGTCCCCTCTATGTCAAGAGATGGCGTAGAATAATAGTTTTTTTTAATATTTTATGTTTATTTATTTGAAAGGCAGAGTTAGAGAGAGAGGTAAAGATAGAGAGAGAGGTTTTCCATTGCTGGTCCACTCCCTGGATGGACACAACAGCAGGAGCTGCACCAATCCAAAGCCAGGAGCCAAGAGCTTCTTCCAGGTCTCCCATGTGGGTACAGGGGCCCAAGGACTTGGGCCATCTTCTAATGCTATCCCAGGCCATAACATAGATCTGGATCAGAAGAGGAGCAGCCAAGACTAGAACTGGCGCCCATATGGGATGCCGGTGCTTCAGGCCAGGGCTTTAACCTGCTGCGCCACAGTGCTGGCCCCAACCATAATAGTTTCATACATCAACTCTGAGGCCAAACTGCAAGCATAAGCTCCCACTTATGGTGGTACAGCCTTGCTCATGTCTTAACATCTCAGAAGGCAGTGCCTGGGACATGATAAGTACTGAATTTAACTGTTACCACATTCAACAACAACAACAACAACAAAAAACAGTTATCCAGTGGGAATAGAGGAAGAGAAACTGGCCAAGATGTTGTAGAATTTGTCTGTTTAATTTTGGAGGAACTTCCTGACTCTCAGTTTGGGGTGATCAGGAGCCAGGAGCAATGATGTCGATAAACTGGAAAATAAGTCATAGCTTTCCTGCCAGACATGGAGGCCTGAAATATCGGGACTGTCACATGCACTGTGGTTAGAACCTCTGCAGCACAGCCACGTGGCGGCTGACAGACTGCAGTCGATGAGAATGCATAGCTGCCTCTCTCATAAACATTGTTTCCCGAGCCCAGAGAGGAGGCACGATGAGCCCCAGCCTTCTGGGAAGACCCAGGTAAACTGCTCAGTATCAATAACAGGATGTGCTAAGCATGGCAGTTCTGGGGGAAATGACAATGGCGTACACCAGGTATTTTATATAATGTTAACTGTAATCTTTTTTCAAAGGTAGATTTATTTATTATTTATTTGAAAGAGTGATAGAGAGGGAGAAACAGACAGATCTTCCATTCACTGGCCCATTACCCAAATGCCCTCAACAGCCAGGTCTGGGCCAGGCCAAAGCCAGGAGCCACGAACTCCAAACTGGTCTTCCACATGGGTAGTGGCAGGGGCCCAGGTACTTGAGTCATCCTCCACTGCCTTGGGCATAGTGCACTGGATCAGGAGCAGAACAGCTGGGACTCCAGCCAGCACTCCAACACGGGATGCAGGCCTCACGAGAGGCTAACCCACAACACCAGCCCCATAACTTTAATTTTGACAACTCTGAGATTATTACCATTACCTTCATTTTACAGTTGAAGAAATGAAGGCACAGAGAGGTTAAGTAACTTTCCCAACATCACACAGTACATGTGGCAAAGCGAGAGGTAAACCTAGGAAATCTGGCCGTAGAGCCACCTTTGCTAAGCTTCAGAGAGATTCTTTTGAATGCTACGCACACAGGAGACACAAAAACGGATTCATTAAATGATCTGATGTTATCATGACCTGATTATTACCTTTAAAACCTGAATCCTTCCAGGAAGCAGCACTTTGCTCGGGTTATACAACAAGTATGGTTACTAAAGATAACGTGGGTGTTTTGATGATGCCGTTCCCTTCAGAGCACAAGGCAGTGCAAGGGAGCGCCTGTGGTTGCAGTCCCCCGGGAACAGGGGAAGGCCACCAACTGGGGAATCTCTTGGTTCTTGGTGGCTATGGGAGCAGGAAGGGGCAGGTCGCCGCCACCCTGCAGCCCCTCTGCATGTGCAGTCACCAAGAGCCAACGCAGAAGGAAGCGTCTGTCCTCGGGGCAGAGTTGGGAAGGCCTGCGCTATGGGGGTCCCACAATGCTGGCTTATCTTCACGGGAAGGTGCTCCTTCCTGCTTTGGAGCCTGGTCAGTTCTGGGCAAGAGCAGGCCCCAGCCAGCCCTGGTGCTTGCCAAACGCCCCGACTGGCGGCTAACGCGGTGTTGACTTTCATTTTAGGTCCTGAGGTTTGAGAATATTTTGTCCTCCATCCTTCACTTTGGGGTCCTCCCCCTGGCCAACGGTAAGAACCCCATGGGAAATGATGCGACTCTGGGGCTGACAACACGTCGGGGCTTGTTTGGGACTTTCCACCCTGGAGTGTTCTTCTGAGCCCCAGCCAGAGCCAGGATTTACGAAGCTTGTACCATCTACAACAGGGTTGCAAAATCAGTCACTAGAGGTCCAAGTCGTTTGCACCCTCGGCCGGCCGGGCGGCTCGGGTTGAGGTCGGAGTTTGAAGCCTGTCTCCTAGGCAGCAGCATCGCCTTCAGCTCAGCCGGAAATGCAATCACCTGTGTGATTCCTGCGCAAGGACCGCTGGGCAAATACAGCTTTAACGGCTGGCAGTCCTGAGCCTTCTCCCCACACTGCAATCATTCACAAACTGCAGCGTTTGGAGTTTGGCTTGGTTAAAAGACTTTATATGAGACAACAAAATGTTCTCAGGACCCACTTATTAAATATTTTCAACATGTAAGTTGGGCAGTTTGAAAATATTCAGCTGTACAAACGCACTTAATTGGAGGTGCATTTTTGTTAGACCAGAATTACTCAATAGTTCTCCCAGGAAAAAGCCGGGAACATAGCAGAAAGAATGAAAATAACTTATCAAGAAAAATTAAAAGATAAATTATTTAAAAACTGGTTGATAGCCTGTTACCAAAATGTGTGCTGAAACGTCTGGACACACACCCAGTTATCTTACACCTCGTTCTATATTTTAGCAAAATTGCAGCAAGGATTTCCTCTGCCCAACCCTTACAACATTTCATTCGTCAATTCAGATATTGAAGTTCTTCAGGTAAGAATGCAAATCTTCCCTGAACCAACCTATTTCTCTTCTTGATAGAATGAGTCATCTCCTGTTTTGCTTGTTTTGTGTTTTAGATTGTACTGCTTTGTTTTTTTCCAAACCCAAGGAGTTTTGTAAGCAAACGTTTTAGCTCTTAAGAGGTTGCAGTTAGGCCGGTGCTGCAGCTCACTAGGCTAATCCTCCACCTGCGGCGCCGGCACACCAGGTTCTAGTCCCGCTCGGGGTGCCGGATTCTGTCCCGGTTGCTCCTCTTCCAGGCCAGCTCTCTGCTGTGGCCCGGGAGTGCAGTGGAGGATGGCCCAAGTGCTTGGGCCCTGCACCCACATGGGAGACCGGGAGGAAGCACCTGGCTCCTGGCTTTGGATAGGCACAGTGCGCCGTCCGAGGCGGCCAAACCAACAGAAGGAAGACCTTTCTCTCTGTCTCTCTCTCACTGTCTATAACTCTACCTGTCAAATAAAAAAAAAAATAAATAAGGTTGCAGTTAGCAATGAAAACCACTTAAGCTTGAGTTCATAAATCAAAGTCCAATTTTTTACTTGGCAGCTAAATTTATTCACTCTGTGGCACAAAAGATGCTTTTCCTGTTTTTTGAGAGGCAGTCGGACAGACAGACAGATCTCCTGTCCACTGGTTCACTCCCCAAATGCCTGAAATGGCCAAGACTGGGCCAGGCTAAGGCTGGGAGCTAGGAACTCAACCTAGGCCTCCTACCTGAGTAACAGGAACCCGATCACCTGAGCTTTCCCCTGCTGACTTGTGGGACCTGCGTTACCAGGAAGCTGGAATCAGGAGCTGGAGCCGGGTACAGAAGCCGGGGGTTCCGATACGGGACGTCAGTATCCTAACTGCTAGGCCAAATGCGCAGCCCCGGGTGTTCTTCAGTGCACTTTCTGTTATTTGACCCCCAAGACAAACTGCAGGCTGAGAGCTTTGGTTCCATCTCGCTGATCAAAGTGAGACTCAGAGAGGCCAGCGGCGCAGGTGGCTGGGGAGGGCATGGCTGTGGCAGACCGGCTCTTCCTGTTCTCCCAGGCAGCTGCACTCCCTAGACTAGGACCCTCCCTGGCCAGGGATCTCTTGAGCACTGATTTCCAGTTAATCGTTATTAACGAACTTCACAATACCTTTATTTTCTTTCTTTTGGCATTTATTTATTTGTGTATTTTGGGTTTGAAGTGGAACTATAAAGCTGCTTCAAGATATTCATGGAAAATGGAATTAAAAGATACATTTTTGTGTAAAAGCAATTTTAAACCCATGCAGTTTTTCATAACGTGCATTTCCCATGAACTTTTTTGCGGCTCCCTCCTGAGTTTCTGAAAGAGACCCATGCCCCCCCAAGACCCCCCTTCCTGTTCCACCCCTCTCCTCCCCTCCCCTTCTACAAGTCACACCCATGACAGTACGAGGGGTCCTCAGAAAGCTCATGGGAAGTGCCTGTCATCAAAGAGCATGCATGCGTTTCAGAAACGTTAGCAACAAATCAGTGCATCTTTGAATTCCATTTGTCCCCTGATCACTTTGAAGCACCCTGTAATCCAAAATGGCCTGTTCTGTCGAGGCCTCGCGTACGGGCACGGGAGTAGGGCAGGGCATGGCATGGTGGGGCCTCTGTCCCTCAGCCTGCAGACGAGGCCAGGCAGGCCCAGGCTTGGTGTGACCTTCAGCGCTGCACCATTGCATGCTTTGCAGAGCTTCCTTCTGATTTCCACCGACCTGAGGTATGAAGCATCCTTGAAGCAGCAGCCAAGTCTCGCTGGTTGGAAAGACCTGAACCTGCTCAGTGGACAGTGGCAGGGGAAGCCTGCCCCGTGACTGCCTCTTGCAATCCACCCCAGGAAGCCGATGGCCGTGAATCCCACAGCTCCTGTCAACCCAGAGCGGAATGGCAGTGCACACTGGGGTGATACAGCCCTGGTGACTTGCTCAGGCAGGAAGTTTCTAGAAGGAGACAAAGTGGGCTAACGGGCAGACTGGGCTATGTGTGCCTTTGAGCCCGGAGTGTTGGGGGGGGGGGGTGGATGTGTGTGCATGCTGGGTGTGCCTGCGTTTTCAGGGTTCTAGGGCAGAGAGCTAGGCAGGCACCTCTGACAGGTGAGTAAGAAACCCCGAAGTCTGTGCTTGTGTCGGTGCCACCAGTGGAGACCCCTTCAGCTCTCGAGTGTTTGCGCTACCTGTATATTGGATGTTATGTTTTATATTCACCATTACTGTCCCCCTGAGTTTCATTAAAATGGTTTTCTATCAATGCCAATCTTGTTTTTTTTTTTAATTTAAGAATGTCCTGCCCTGAAAATTCTTTAATAAAATAAGGCAGAAAAAAGGAAAGAGAATTTAGTTTCTTGAACCTGGACAAAAACTGAGTTTGTACAGATGTCAAGACTTGATTTAAAAGGGGACCCCTCGCCTGTTAAAATCTCCCCAGCGAGCAGCAGGGTGACCACAGGAAACCCCGGAGGCTGTATCACTTCTTTAAGCTTTAGGGTGCTTCCCACTAACTCCTGGTGCCAAGTCTAAACCCAGGCAATTCATAGTTGATAACGATGCTAACCAGCGCCTGATCAAATGGGATGACGAGGAAGAGAGGGAAGAAAGGGGAGCCGGTGTGGGACATTTCAGACATGAATAGAACCCACACACTTGGCTCTGGCCATGCTGACAGCCTAGAAGGGGCTGGGAGAGAGTTGCCAGGCTGCCAGGCCCTGTGCTGGGTACTCCTGCAGTCTCACTTCACGCAACGTGCACACGCACTCCAGCGAAGAATGATGAGCCCATTTTACAGACCGGAAAACAGAGGTGAAGGGGGATTCCTTACACAAACCCATTAAACGGCACAGAGAGAAATCCAATCAAGCTTTTCCAATTCCCAGCACGAGAAACTGAAATCACCGAACGCTCACTCCCCCCAAGAGGCACCGGTGTAAGAGCTCCATGGCAGAGGACGTGGTCATCAGGAAGGCTAGCCTGGGAAGCCCTGGCAGATGGACCTGACCCAGCCTCTGGGTGTTCTTAGGACAGAAGGCAGCCAAGTCACACCAAACACTGCCACTTTTAAGCTGGCGGCCGCCCAGCCTTAGGTCCACTCAGAGGGACCTGCAAAGGGCAAACACTAGAGGGCAGTCGAACTCAGACAGCGATCGGCACGAGGAGTTTCGAGCCTCGGGGCTTGCCGTCGGCCCCTCCTTCCGCGCAGCCTTCCGCGCATGCGCGTCGCGCTCCAGGAGGAGGTGCTCCCGGCAGCCGGACAGCGCGGCTGCTACTCGTCCTAGCGGATTCGAGAGTTTCTGCCGCCGCCGCCGCCGCCGCCGCCGCCATGAGCCGCTCGTATAACGATGAGCTCCAGTTCCTGGAAAAGATCAACAAGAACTGCTGGAGGATCAAGAAGGGCTTCGTGCCCAACATGCAGGTGAGGCGGCGGCGGGGCTGGCGGGCTGGGCGGCGGGCCTCCTCCGCGGCCTCGCGACCCTTCCCCAGCGCGGGGCGGGTCCCTGCCGGCTCCGAGGCCGGGGGCCTGCGCCGAGCTGTGGTGGTGCCGGGCCTCGGGGGCTTGGGGGTCTTCTCCGAGCCGGCCCCGGCGGCCCGGGCTGGGCGCCTGGGAGTCAGGCCGGCCCAGCGCTCCGGCCTCCGGTTGGTGTTCTGGGATACGGTTGCGTCCCTGGCGGATGCACAGGGCGGGCGGTGTGCTCTTAACTGCGTGGCAGAGGAGGGAGCCTGCGGCCCCGTCGGTGGCCCAGCCGGCTCTGCCCGCCCTCCTCCCCCCGCGGGGAGCTCGGCCGGGATTTCGTGTCCGGTTCGCCTCTTTTCCTCGGAGGGGATGACGCGTTCCGCGTGGACACCTGGGAGCCCAGGACCCGCGAGCCTGAGAGCCGGGGTTTACTGAGTGTCTCAGGTCGTTTGTGGTGCACGGGTGTTTTTAAGTAGGTTTGCAAACCTTTTAATGTGTCGTGCAGGTGCACTGAAGGTTGGCAGTCCTGCGTGTTGATGATATGTTTTTATTAAATTGATTTTGTTTATCTGGTGTTTCCCATCCCCTGGTTCACTCCCCACATGCCTGCGACAGCTGAGGCTGGCCAGGCCGGGCCCAACCCAGGTCCCCCGCAGGGGTGACCGGGACCCTGCTGCGTCCCAGGAGGGTGTGCGTTAATGGGAGGCTGGCGTCAGGGCCAGAGCCAAGGCTTGAACGCGGGCACTTCAGTGCGGGATGTGGGTGCCCTAAATGCTCCTCGTCGCACAAGGCAGGCCGGTTGCCCGAGAGAGTTTCGGGCTGCTTTTCCTGAGCTCAGTACAGAAATAAAAAGCCGGGAGACAGTTTGCAAAGAGGCAGAAACTTTGACTTGACAGAGAAGCGTCTGGTCCCAGAGGGGAGCTGGCGGAGCGCCCGGGGTTTCTGAGGCGTTCTGTGGGGTGCGTGCGCATTGGGAGGGGGCTGCACGCAGTGGGTGCTGCTTGGCCTCAGGCTCGTGGAGACAGCGGGCGTCTGTCTCCTTCGGGGCTCAGCCCCCTCCTCTGCTGGCTCTGGGTGGAAGATTGCAGCTAACGTGAAGGCGTGATTTAAAACAGCGGGGTCACACGCGCCGCAGAAGCTGTTAGTGGGGGAGATGCCAGCCGTGTGGAAACAGGCTCCAGCCAGAGCCTTTGACCCCCCCACCCCCCCCCCGCTGGACAGCCTCACTGAGCAGCATCTGACCTGCCTGTCTCTTACGTGTGGCTTTCAGAGTCGGAGCATAAACAAAGCGGTTTGTGGACATTGCAGAATAGTGTCTCATGTATATTTAAAGATAGGGACATCTTGCAGTCTTCAGCAGGAAGTTTTCTGCTTGCTTTAGGAATATGCAGTTGTTTTATAAAGAGTAAAGCAAGGGAGCCGGCGCTGTGGCGTAGTGGGTAAAGCCACTGCCTGCAGCACCGGCATCCCATATGGGCACCAGTCAAGTCCCGGCTGCTCCTCCTCCCATCCAGCTCTGTGCTGTGGCCTGGGAAGGAAGAGGAAGATGGCCCAAGTGTTTGAGCCGTCGGGGAGACTCGGAAGAAGCTCCTGGCTTCCGATCAGCAAAGCTCCAGCTGTTGTGGCAAACGGGAATGAACCAGCAGATGGAAGCCCCCTCCCCCCCTTTCTCTTTCTCTCTCTCTGCCTTTCTGTAACTCTGCCTTTCAAATAAATGAATCTTTTAAAACAAAAAAGCAAAGCAAAACAAGTATTGCATGCGCCGTATTCTCTCCCGTCCGTGCTTCTCACGCGTGGTTTCCTTGCTTTGGTACCAGGTTGAAGGAGTCTTCTACGTGAACGATGCTCTGGAGAAGCTGATGTTTGAGGAATTAAGGAATGCCTGTCGGGGGGGTGGTAAGTACATTGGCGTTCCACTGGCAGTAGTGTAAGTGGTGCCGTCTCTGTGGCTTAAAAAAAGGTAACCCAAATAACTAGAATTGTTAAATCTCGCCAAGGAATAATCAAGATATGAAAACCTATGAGCTTACTTATCTATGACCACATTGGTAACCACTTGGCCTTGGAGAAATGATTTGCAGTTGGTGGGGCCTGGTTTGTTTCTCGGGTAACCTTGAATGATAATCAGTGTAGCTGCCATTTCCTCTGCCTTACCTGTGTGCCGGGTACCTCACTGGGTACCGTGCGTGGGTTATCTCACATAGTGCTTAGTGTGACAGGAGGCTGTTATCTGTTTTACACACGCTTAAGTCAGTTCTCAGAGAGTTTACTCACAGTCACGGTCACACAACCGCTTGTGATAGAGCCGTAATTCAGATCCATGAGTCTGATTTCAGCTATTCTCGGGCATACGCTCCCTGACCTTACCTACTCCAGGTATCGCCCCTGAAACAGGGTCTAGGACAGCTGTCCCACGGGCCTGCAGTGACGATTACGGAGTACTAAGACGCTCTGATGGTGGTGATGAAATAGAAATCAGCAGGTTTGGACCTTTTTTTAAGATCAACAAACTAAAGGCTTCCCTCCACAGCAGGCTCACTTGTCTAAAATGACACAGCTGCCAAGTCCTAGGCTTGGATCTAGAACCCCATGTCCCATGATTCAACCCACTGTGTTCCCAGCTTCCACACTGCCCTCCCCACTGTGCCACTTGGCTGCCCCAGAGTGGTCTTTTCTTTCTTTCTTTTTTTTTTTTTTTTTAAGATTTTATTTATTTGAGAGGTAGAGTTACAGACAGTGAGAGGGAGACGGGGAGACGCAGGGAGAGAGAGGTCTTTCATCCACTGGTTCACTCCCCAGATGGCTGTTGCAGCTGGAGCCAAGCTGATCCAAAGCCGGGAGTCAGGAACTTCTTCCAGGTCTCCCACACGGGTGCAGGGGCCCAAGGACTTGGGCCATCTTCTGCTCTCCCAGGCCATAGCAGAGAGCTGGATGGGAAGAGGAGCAACCGAGACTCGAACCAGTGCCCATATGGGATGCAGGTGCCGCAGGCAGAGGATTCACCTACTGCGCCACAGCGCCGGCATCACACTACTCTTGTCAGTTGGAATAAAACCAGTGTTGATTTTTTTTTTTTTTTTTTGAAAAATGATGTAATCTACTGAAAGGATGTGTTGTACTGGGAGTATACAGTTTCATAGTTACGTTTTAGAGCCGTGTGCACACAGCACACTGATCGCGTGCCGTAATCAGTCTGAGTGCCCTCACTGTAGATCCTGTGCATCCTTCCCTCAGGAAGAAGCCCCTTCCTGCCTGCATCTCAGACTCTGATCAGGGCTGAACACTCCCCCTTCATGTAATCAGTACAGACATGTGAATACAATGCATCTAAAAACCACATGTGGGACGTGCCGGCCAGTGCCTGAGCGGGGGCAGCTCAGGGCATGTTTGGCAGCAGCATGAGCCTAGCGCACATCTGTGGCCACCTTGCCACCCTACACACCTGGGGCTGCCACCAGATGAGCATGGCCACCCCACCCGAGAGAGGCTGCCCTTCTCCCTCCACCAGCTGCAGGGGCACCTGCGTCCGGAACATCTCCGTGGACGGAAGCCTCGCTGCAGGTGGATGTCCTGAACCAAGTCTGGAAGATCGGGAAGTGGTCCTGAGCCTGCAGCCAGATGGTGTGATGTTCAGAGAACCCAAGATGGGTGTGAGGAACTGGCAGTGTCTCAGAAAAGGGGTGGGAGTGGTCTTCAGATGATGTATGAGAAACCCGAGCGAGGGTCTTTTCTAAGATTTATTTATTTATTTGAAAGTTAATTGTTACAGAGAGAAAGAAATCCCCCATCTGCTGCTGGTTCACTCTCCAGATGGCTGCAACACCTGGGGCTGCACCATGCCAAGGCAAGGAGCTTCTTCCAGGTTTCCCACGCGGGTGCAGGGGCCCAAGCACTTGGGTCATCTTCGGCTCCTTTCTCAGGCACAGTAGCAGAGAGCTGGGTCATAAGTGGAGAACCCAGGACTGGAACCAGTGCCCATGTGGTGGCTTCACCTGCTGTGTCACAGTACTGGCCCCTGGACAATGGGTGTTTTGGTTGTTGAACAGTGGTCTTTTGCCCTTCAATCCTATGCCTGTCACGGTCCAGTTCGAGCCAGCTTGCTTCTCAGTGGCAGACTCAAAGATTCAGAGAAGCCTGTATTGTTTTTAAAGATCCATGTATAGTGATAGGTGTATTTTTGCATCTAAATTATATGAATTTGACTGCATGAATGAAACAATAGACAGCTATCAAGACTGCCATGACTGGATGAATAACCAGTTTGGCCACAGCCTCAAATTGGGTGGAATCATTTTGAGCTACTCTAGAAAAATACTGAATAGAATATATTTTCAGGGAAGAAATGAAGAGCAAGGCATTTCTCTGAATATTTAGAGAAGTTTCATTATGAACATGAATGCTGACTCTTGGAAAGAACACTGAAAACTAACTTTGATGATCTACGTGAAGTGCCTGTCTTAACGTTAGATGATAATGAGGACTTTAAAGAAACTCGGGGGCAGCGCTGGTATCCCATATGTCCTGGCTGCTCTACTTCCAAACTAGCTCCCTGTTGGTGACATGAGAAAAGCAGCAGAAGATGGCCCAAGTGCTTGGGCGCCTTGGTCTACCCGTGCGGGAGACCTGGAAGAAACTCCTGGCTCCTCGCTTCAGCCTGGTCCAGTCCTGGCTATTGTGGCCATCCAGGGAATGAACCAGCAAATGGAAGATCCACCCGCCCCGCCTCCTTCCCCTCCCCCTCCATTTCTCTGTAGCTCTTTCAAACAAAGTAAATAAATCTTTACTTGAAAGGGCCCAAGGGGCATGAAAGTCTGGTTGAAAAGGTCAGAGAATTTCTGGGTGCCTTGTGAGCTTGCTGAAGACTTCAGGCGGCCATACAGTTCCAGCTATTTTGGCTTTGTACATCTTCATAGCTCAGAATTCATGCAAGTCTTCTCAGAAAACCAAAGATTTTAGTCTTTTTTTTTTTTTGGATGAAAAAAAGATTGTCTTAATTCCATGTAAAACTTGACCTGTTTATTTTTCTTTGTCCTTCCTCCCTTCTTTTCCTTTTTTGTTTAAAATAACAACGGCATTTAATTATCTCACAACAGGAAGTCTGGAGGTAGTTCTAGAAAAGGTATATTGGCCAACTTGTACATTATAAAGACCCAGCCTCCTCCTGTCTTTCCCCATACTGAGTCTTCCTTAGCAAATTGGCTTTTTTTTTTCGTCTTGGTGCTTCTCACTTCACTGGTGACCATTTTTGTAATTAGTGATTTTTTTTAAGATTTATTTATTTATTTATTTGAAAGAGTTACAGAAGGAAAGGCAGAGAGAGAGATTGGAGTCTTCCATCCGCTGTTTCATTCTCCAGTTGGCCTCAATAGTTGGAGCTGTGCCAATCCGGAGCCAGGAGCCAGGAGCTTCTTCTGGGTCTCCCACGTGGGTGCAGGGGCCCAAGTCCTTGGGCCATCTTCTTCTGCTTTCCCAGGCCATAGCAGAGAGCTGGATTGGAAATGGAGCATCTGGGACTCGAACTGGCACCCATATGGGATGCTGGTGCTGCAGGCTGCAGGTTTACCTGCTACGGCACAGCGCCGGCCCCTAGTAATTTTTTTTAAGATTTTTAATTTATTTATTCAAGAAGCAGAACTACGGATAGAGACAGAGTGAAAAGTCTCCGCTGGTTCATTTCCCAAGTGGCCGTAGTGGCAGGAGCCAAGCCATTCTGAAGCTAGGAGCCAGGAGCTGCTTCTGGGTCTCCGATGTGGGTGTAGGGCCCAAGCACTTGGGCCATCTTCCACTGCTTTTCCAAGCCATTAGCAGGGAGCTGGATCGGAAATGGAGCAGCCGGGACTCCAACTGGCACCCATATGGGATGCCGGCACAGCAGGCAGCAGTTTTACCCGCCACACCACAGCACCAGCCCCTGTAATTAGTAATTTTAATATCACATAGTAAATGGTGTGTGTCCTATGTAAATTAGTGTTCCTATCAAAAATTTAAAAATGAAATTTAAAGAATCACAATAAGAAATCAAGTTTTATTTTAAATGTTTTTTATCAGATGCCTCCTATTCCACCTTTATGTAGAAGATAAGGCCAAGTTTAGTATTGAATGAGTTTACTGGTATTTATTAATAATTCTACAATAATGTTTCTAGAGCAGGTTTGACTTTGTTCCCAGTTTGGGCACAGGGTATGTCTTAGAAGTCATTTAGTATTATCTCTACTTTTATTTCCTCGTTCATAATAAGGATGATCCCTTCTCATCCTTCTACATGGAGTTGTGGGAGACTGAAGAGGAAATCGTTCTTAAAAGATAACTGACAGTTATATAAGTACTAAGTTCCGATTTATATAAATATAAATAATTTATATAAAATTGCTACCTGCCTTCTCCCTTCTCAGACTATTTTTTTCTCAGACTTTTTAAAGATTTGTTTGTTTATTTGAGAGGCAGAGTTAGAGGGAGAGACTGAGAGGTCTTCTGTCCTCTGGTTCACTCCCCAGATGGCTGCAACAGCCAGGGCTGAGCCAATCCAAAGGCAGGAGCCAGGAGCTGCTTCCGGGTCTCCCACTCTGGTTCAGGGGCCCAAGCAGTTGGGACAGCTTCCACTAATTTCCAAGAACCTCAGCTGTGGGCTGGATTGGAAGTGGGGCAGCTGGGACTCAGACCAGGGTGCCGGCACCAGCACCAACCTCAGACTATTCTTTTTGAATGGAAAATGATTATAGTTAAAAGATGAGTTTAAATTATGATTATCCTTAAGTCATTTGAGGTAGAAGTGTAGATTTTCCTAGATTCTTATCATGTATGAAATATCAGGGGAACATAGTGTATAGTAAATTTTCCAGGTTTTTTCTCGTTGTTCCTGCACTGGGAAGGAGCCGTCCTTCTTCACATCATACTTGGTGAGAAGTCGGAAGAGAAAGTGAAGCCGTGGTGGATTACCTTCTCAGCAGATCGGTGTGTTGAGTCCGCCTCTTGCATCCTGCCTCATACTGCTTTTTCTGCTGTGTGGATTAATTAAGCAGCCTGCTACTGTAAAGTTTACATACAAATCACACATTTCTACTCTGAGAGCGTGTGGTCCCTCTTCACGTCATAGTTTGCTTTATTTTGTTTTTTTCCTTTCAGAGAAGTTGCTGATAAGAGATGATCTTGCTTTTTGTGTAATGTATCACGAAAGTGTAACGATTTTTTGTTGAACTAGGAAATAAAATTTATAAATACCAGGAGGAAGAGGTTTTTTTTTAAGGTGTGCAGCATATTTCCATTGTATTTAACCTTTATTTTGTGTTTTAGAAAAATTGTGTGCTTTTTGGAATGAAGGGAAAAGTCACTTTTATTTTGAAACTACAGTTTTTCTTCCTAAAATGTCATCTTTTATTTTTGTTTTGTATTCAAAGATGATAATTTTTTGGATGAGCCATCTAGATGCACTGATCTTTGAAAAAATGGCTTAATTTCAAATCTGTAATAACTATTTAAACTATCTCTTGTCTGTGTGTCGGGATTTTGGTATATATGGAATTGTTTATGTATTTGTTAATAAGTTTAAATCTCAGGGGAAAAAAATCAAATGTGTACTCTGCTAATATTAAACTTTTGTCTTCAGGTGTTGGTGGCTTCCTGCCAGCTATGAAGCAGATTGGCAATGTGGCAGCCCTGCCTGGGATTGTTCATGTGAGTCAGAGTTCACGTTCCTGCTTATCTAAGATTTGTTGAATAACCTACCAGGCGTTGGTATTGGTGTCACTTAGACAGTGACCTTTGGACATCCAGAAATAACCACGGGCCCTGTGAAGAAGTCACTGAGTCTGGCTAGCGTCTCAGTTTCTAATTGCCTTTGGTTAGACTCTATGAGCATTTGAGAACTTGTTTTCTTGTTTCTTAGTCAGAGTACATCACTGTTCTGTAATTGGTGCACCACCATTGTAGGTTGAACTGGGGATGTTTAGAGAAGGAGTGGAAAGAAGTTTAAGGGTTAGGACTGTGTGGAGAGAAGGAGGACAGCATAGCTGTTTTAGACATCAGAAAAGAAGTGTGGTGACAACAACATAAATGGAACTGGAAGGTACAGGTGGGCCCGTTGCAGTCTAACGTGCAAAGTCTGCTGCTACAAATAGATGTTGAAAGTGGATCCATTCAGCAGTTACTTTGTGCCAGGTGCTTTGCCGGGCACTTTGGGGAGGGAAGGGTTGAAATGCCATGGCTTGTGCATTGAAGGAACTGTGCACGTTTCTGGGTGTCTCCAGATCCTTCCCATGTTTAACCCGCACGCTCCTGAGTCAGAGTCCTTTTCTAGGATCCGGATGTAGAACGTGTATGGAATTCATGTCACCCAGTAACTTAAATTTGTTGTGGTTACTCAAATGCTAATGACCTAAATAAGTTAGGTATTTCCTCACTTTTTTATAACGATTAATTTATGTATTTGACAGAGTGACGAGAGAGGGAGAGAGCTTCCAGCCGCTGGTTCATTCCCCAAATGGCTGTAACAGCTAGATCTGGGCCAGGCTGAATCCAGGAACTAGGAACTCCATCCGGGTCTGCCTCATGGGTGACAGACCCAACTACTTGGCCCATCTTCCCTTTCCTTCCCAGGCACATGAGCAGGAAGCTGGATCAGAAAGCAGAATAGCTGGGACTAGAACCCGCACTCTGATATGGGATGTTGGTATCCCAAGCAGCTGCTTAGCCCACTGTACCACAATTCCAGCCCGTTTTCCTTCTTAACTTGACACAACCATGATTTTTCAGTATCTTGAGATTATCTTTAAAATGTAATAATACGTTGAAGTTACAATGTGGACTTCCTATTATTTTGAGACTTTTCTGTTTTAGGCTTCCTTAATTAACAGACTATATAAAAAGATTTGTGCTTTTATTTTTCACTATTTTTAGCTTTGTGATTAGGAATTCTTACATTTCATTTCTGCCAATATGGATTTTTTTGGAAACAAGGTCTTGATTTGGGGAATGCTTTGTCCTTAGAGCCTGTTTGAGAATCAATCTCACATCCTTTGAGCAACCAGAGTGACAGATGTATTTCACTCTTTAATTCTTTTCCAGCGATCCATTGGGCTTCCCGACGTCCATTCAGGCTATGGATTTGCCATTGGGAATATGGCAGCCTTTGATATGAATGACCCGGAAGCAGTGGTATCCCCAGGTGAGATCCAGGTCTCCTTTCATTGTGTAGCTTCTGTCTGTAGATCATACTCTGAGTCAGAGCATCACTTCTCTGTGTGAACATCCTCAGTCTCATCACATTCTGTTTACTGAAAAAAATGATAGTGGATGCTCAGAGACTGTTAATGTTACTTCCCAGGTCGCATTGTTACTATGAGGACTAAAAGGGGGCAGACTGCTAGGCCTGTGGGAAGTGTTTGCGCTCATCATCCTTTTGTTACTCCATTATTTCTGTGTGTCCTGTCTGCTGTGGTTAGGGAGTTTGGGCCCTGAAAATATTCTGTAAGATGTGATGGCTTTGCTTGCAAGAGTCTCAGTGAAGACAGGAAATTGAAGAGACATCTTGAAGGTCTGTCTGCAGCAACGGTGGACGTGATGGTTTCAGACGAATGCTGAAAGAGAAGGCAGGGCTCAATAAAAGCTGCTCACAGTGTGTTCGAAGGCCACGGAAAGCCACTAGTGCAGTCAGGATTTGTGAGATCAGGGTCCCGGGGAGAAGGGACAGGACCCAGATGTGTGAGCCGGTGTTCAGCTTTGTTTCTTCAGCAGTTGCCAGGTTCAGTCAGTGAGGGTAGAGGTGACAGGTGATCCAGTTAACAAACGTGACACGACACTGACCTGAAATAGAGTGTGTGTGTGGTATCTGCATGTGAATCACAGCGCCCCCGAGAAGTGCAGGATGTGCTGCTTTTCTTCCTTCCTTCCTTCCTTCCTTCCTTTTTTTTTTTTTTTTTTTTTTTTTTTTTTTTTTTAGGGAGAGTGGTCCCTGTACAAATTTTTTTTTTTTTTTTTTGGACAGAGTGGACAGTGAGAGAGAGAGAGAAAAGTCTTCCTTTGCTGTTGGTTCACCCTCCAATGGCCGCCACGGCCGGCGCTCTGCGGCTGGCACACCGCGCAGATCCGATGGCAGGAGCCAGGTACTTATCCTGGTCTCCCATGGGGTGCAGGGCCCAAGTACTTGGGCCATCCTCTACTGCACTCCCGGGCCACTGCAGAGAGCTGGCCTGGAAGAGGGGCAACCGGGACAGAATCCAGCGCCCCGACCAGGACTAGAACCTGGTGTGCCAGCGCCACAAGGTGGAGGATTAGCCTAGTGAGCCGCGGCGCCGGCCACCTGTACAATCTTAAAAATGATTGAGGATGAGGCTGTCGTCAGTGTTCACCTTATTAGATACTGAAACTGAGACATCTAAAACTCAGGAATACATAAGGACAAATTTCATTATCTATCAGCACCAATGATACCACATGTCATACAGCCTTTAGAACGTCAGTGAGTACTCGAGAGAGCTAGAACAAATGATGTCTCAACAATTTTACTAAATTAATCTTACAGAAAGAATCTGATTCCCCCACCTCTACCCCAGAGTCTCTGAACCACACTTAATAACTAGTGATACAGAGGATATTATCTGATCACAGTAGAATTAAGTCAAAACCATTTTCAGAAAACAAGTGGATGTTGTACAGCTGTTAAGCTGATGCTTGTGACACCCGCATCCCATGTTGGAATGCCTGGGTTCAAGTCCTGCTCCACTTCCCATTCAGCTTCCCGCTAATGTACGCCCTAGGAAGCAGTAGATTATCGCTTCTCAGCCTTTGGCTAAGATCAAGCATAGCGGTAAATGATGGCTCAAGTACTTGTGTCCCTGCCACCCTGTGGGAGGCCTGGACCTGAGTTCTTGGTTCCTAGCTTCAGCCTGGCCCGGCCCTGGCTGTTAAAGGCATTTGGGCAGTGAACCACCAGATGGAAGATATCTCCCTTGCTCTCTCCCTAAACCCCTACCTCTCTACTTTTCAAATAAACAAAAGCTTTTTTTTTTTTAATTTAAAATTTTTATTTTAAAAAATGTCTGCATATTTGGAAATTAAATAGTATCTTTTAAAAGACTCATGAGTCCAATAAAATCATGACAAATTAGAAAATAGTTTTCCTTATTAATTTTTTTCTTATTTGAGAGATGGAGAAAGCACCTATCTGCTGGTTCATTCCTCAGATACCCACAGCAGCCAGAACTGGGCCTGGCTGAGTCAGGAGCCACGAACTCAACTACTTGAGGCACCTCCTGCTGCGTCCCTTGTGCACATCGGCAGGAAACTGGAATCGAGAGCCCAGCAGGACTTGAACCTGGGCCTGATATGGGGTGAGGGCATTCCAACTGGCAGCTTAACTTCTAGGCCAAATGCTCACCCCTAATTTCAGTGTTAAACATACTTAGGTCTGCACATGGAGAGTGTTGAGAAAAGGGAGCCTTTGAACACTCTTGGCAGGAGTGTGAGTTGTGTTACTGTTAGGGGAAACAATATGGAGGCTCCCAGACAAGTGAAAGTACAGGATACTTTAGAAAGCACATAGAGAAACAACGAAAAATGAATTTAATTTGGTGCAGAATAACTGCATATGATATGGAAAATAATGTATTATGAAAAATTGCATTAATTTTAAAATGCTTTATGTAGCAAGATACACCTGGGTTTCAATTTCATTTTATTAGAAGCTGAAGTGCCCTTCTGGAATGCCCAGATGAACATCCTGCAGTCCCACTTGCTGGTATACAAGTATCTCCATAGCGGCAGAAATTACTGCCATGAAGAGAATTCACAATAGCAAAAATACAGAAACAGCCTGAGTACCAGTTGACATAAGAATGGATAAAGAAAAGGAGGTGTACACAAACAATGAAATATTATTCAGCCTTACAGAAATCAATTTATAAAAGTTAAAAAGAGTGGGACAGGCCTTTGGCACAGTGTGTAAGCCACCGTCTTGGGAGCCCATAGCTCCTGCTTGGGTTTGAATCCTGGCCCAGCTCCCATTTCCAGCTTCTTGTTAATGTACACACTGGGAGGCAGCGGGTATTGGCTAAAGTGGTTGGGTCCCTGCCACCCATGTGGGAGAAGAGAACCCAGATGGAGTTCCTGGCTCCCAGCTTCTGCCTGATTCAGATCCAGGAGTGAATCAGCAGATGGGAGATTGCTCGCTCGCTCTCTCTCTCTCTCTCTCTCTCTCTGTCTCTTCACCTGTCAAAAAACAAAACATAAGAATGTAAAGAGATACTGGCAAAGCCAGAAATTGATTATTTGAAAGAACTAATAGAATCAGCAACCCGTGGCAACTGATTAAGAAAAAGATACATTATTTCTATTTTTACCTTCATTAAATGTTACTTATGGATCATTACTGCCTTCCTGACCCATGAGTACCTTTTTTTTAATGGCGGAGAGAGACATCTCTCATTCACTAGTTTATTCCTTTATTCCCCAAGTGCTCACAGTAGCCAGGGCTGGGCCAGGAGCCAGGAACGGGCCTTCCAGGTGGGTGACAGGAGCCCAGCGACTTGAGCTGTCGCCTGCTGCTCCCTGGGTGTTCATTGGCAGGAAGCTGCAGTGGAGAGCAGCTTGACTTAATCGTGGTGCCAAACGTGTGCCCCATGAAGTACCTTTAATATGTGTCTACTTTGGATTATTTTGGTGTTAGCAGAACTAACCAGCACCAAACCACTTTGTTGGCTACTTTGAAACATTTGTTTTGAAAGAGGGATCTTTCATCCACTGGTTCACTCACCAGGTGCCTACAATAGCCAGGGTTAGGCTAGGCCAAAGCCAGGAGACAGGAGCTCCATCTGGGTCTCCTAAGTGAGCAGCAGGGACCTAAGTACTTGGGCCTTCACTGCTGCCTCCCAGAGTGCACATCAGCAGAATCAAGTGGAGCTGGGACTTGAACCGACACACTCCAATATGGGAGACAGGCACTGCAAACAGTGTCTTTAACCACTGTGTCCAATGCCCATTGCTGAGCTCCTGAAATAGTAGATTTATATATTTATTTGAAGGGGAGAAAAAGAGGCAGAAGCAGAGAAAGAGAGAGAGAGAGGTCTTCCATCCCCTGGTTCATTCCCCAGATGGCCACAACGGCCAGAGCTGTGTCAGTCAGGAGCCAGGAGCTTCTTCTGGGTTTCCCACATGGGCACAGGGTCCCAAGGACTTGGACCATCTTCCACTGCTTTCCCAGGCCATAGCAGAGAGCTGGATCGGAGCAGCTAGGACTTGAACTGGCGCCCATATGGGATGCCAGCACTGCAGGCAGTGGCTTTACCTGCTACACCATAAGGCCGGCCCTGAAACAGTATATTTAAATAACTTTTTAACCCTATGTTAGTGGAGAGAAAGTGAAGGTAACAATGCCTAGTTACCTGATTTTGCTAACATTTAACTTCTCTGTATTTTGCAGGTGGTGTCGGATTTGACATCAACTGTGGTGTCCGCTTGCTGAGAACCAATTTAGATGAAAGTGATGTCCAGCCTGTGAAGGAGCAGCTTGCACAAGCCATGTTTGACCACATTCCCGTTGGGGTGGGATCAAAAGGTGTCATTCCAATGAATGCCAAGTAAGAACACAAGTGAATAGAGCGCGCGAGAGAAAAACCACGTGACCCTCAGTCTCATTTCCAGTGTAGGGCACTTGGAGATGGGGGTCACTTTTCAGAATGTAGTAATGAATTGATTTTTTTTTAAGTGTGAGGCCCAGCCCATTGTTAGAAATGTTAGACAACTGATGCTCATTATTACAGTGTTTGACACAGAGCAGTGTTGGAAACAGAATGGTATTCCACTGGTGCTTGTTGAGAGCGTGTGTAAGACACCGTGCGTCACATTTCGTCTAGACAGTAACCCTGCTGTTATCCCTGATCTGCGAGAAAGGGGGAACTGAGCTTAGATAGTAAATGAGCTGGGTAAGTGAGGTCAGAATTCAAACCAAAATCCTTTGACTTTTAAAGGCTGAATTCTCCTTTTTTCCAAAAAAAGAAAAGAAAAGAAAAACTTATTTATTCATATGTTTAAAAGGCAGAGAGACAGAGAGTGAAGGAGAGACAGATCCTCTGTCTACTGGTTCACTCCCCTAAATGACCACAACAGCCAAGGCTAGGCCAGGTCAAAGCCACAAGCCAGGAATTCCATCTGGGTCTGCCCCATGGGTGACAGGAGCCTAGATACTTGGGCCCTCTTCCACTGCTCTCCCAGGCACATCAGCAGGGAATTGGGTTGGAAGTGGAGCAGCCGGCACTCCTACAGGCTCTTGTGGGATGCCAGCATTGCAGACAACAGCTCAGCCCGCACAACACTGGCTACTTGGTGGCCTAAGCCTCTGCCTGGACTTGAATAGTGAGGTTGTTCTAGCAATGTTTGAAATTAGTGGAGAATGGAAATGAAAACTAGTTTTTCCAGGTGGTAGTTTAGAAAAAGACTGGATGTTGGATGAAAACCAAAATGTTTTCCCTCTGAGGGAAAGGTTTGCTCACTCAGATTCAACATGCAGATGCAGAAAAGCCACATGGTGCTTTTGTGAAGGCGGGAACAGACCTTAAAGTTTACCCTGTGTCAGCTGAGAAAATTGAGACACCGTTATTTGATGGGAATTCTTCACAAATTATTATGAAGGTGTGCAGCTAATAAAATCAGTGGTAGGGGCCGGCGCTGCAGCTCAATAGGCTAATCCTCTGCCTGCAGCACTGGCACACCGGGTTCTAGTCCCAGTTGCTCCTCTTCCAGTCCAGCTCTCTGCTCCGGCCCGGGAGTACAGTGGAGGATGGCCCAAGTCCTTGGGCCCTGCACCCTATGGGAGACCAGGAGAAGCACCTGGCTCCTGGCTTTGGATCAGCACAGTGCACTGGCCGCAGCAGCCATTGGGGGGTGAACCAACAGAGAAGAAAGACCTTTCTCTCTCTCTCTCTCTCTCTCATTGTCCATTCTGCCTGTCCAAAAAAAAAAAAAAAAAAAAATCAGTGGTAGATAGTGCTAGTCGATTAAGATTGTAAATTTTCTTTGGCTGCCTAATTCATAGAAATCAGGATTGGAGAGGCAAATCTAATACAGAAAAGATTTGAAAAGTACAAGGAGTGCAAATGTCAAGTAGAACTGTCATTTCTCATACCGCGTTTACCATTCCCTGTTGTAATTATCTGTGTGACTGCTTTCCTGAAAAATCTGAAGTTGCTAAGAGCATGAGTTTTGTGTCTAGCAGAAGGCCTGGTGCATAGGGAATACTGAATGTTGTGTGTTCCGCTGCCCCTTGAGATGCGATCTTTCTTGGGTTTTCATGTTTGCTGTGAAATGACTACGCTTGTTGTTACTTACCCAGAGACTTGGAGGAGGCCTTGGAGATGGGTGTGGACTGGTCTCTAAGAGAAGGCTATGCCTGGGCCGAAGACAAGGAGCACTGTGAGGAGTACGGAAGGATGCTGCAAGCCGACCCCAATAAGGTGTCTCCACGAGCCAAAAAAAGAGGCCTTCCTCAGGTAACACTCGGGTCAGAGGGGCAGGGTGTTGTTTTTTTCCTAATTTTTGCTTTTGTAGAATTCTGTATCTTCTATTGAGCAGTCTTCAGGTTTTTTTCAAATAGTATATTGAAAACAACCCAAAATTGTTTATACTTCATTGTACTCTAAAAAGCCATCAGGAGCTTGCAGATGTTCATAAAATAAGACAAGATTTGAAGTAGAGGTAGGATAAAAATGGGGTACAGTTATAAGGCTTACAGTGCATGCCAGAATCACATGTGTACATGCTTTCACCATCTGTAGATTTGTCTGAAAGTTTTCTGGCATCAAACATGGAAAGAGATACCCTGTCGGTTCATGGTGTCCATTAGATGAGGATATACCAGTGTTTGAAATTTGTAGCCAATTGTGATGGCTTTGCCACTGATTCACTGTGTCCTTGGCCAAGACTATAGTTTTCACATTAAAACTTGGGATTGTTAAAACCTGTCAGCCTCTCTTTAGTACTTCTGTTCTATGACCCTGCAAATCACCTGTGGCTCCAGTTATGGGATGCATTCTTTCAGTTATGTGGATATTCATACTCATAGATGTTTTGGAAATCATTGGAAATTGGACTTTGTCTAAGAATCAGCATTGACCAGTGTTCATCCCAAAATTTGACCCTTTTGTTCTTATTTAAAATGCCCAATAAGCCATTTAATGGCTTGAGGTTTTTTGAATTGTGAATCCTATGTGTGTGTGCATCAAGCATATAATGAGCTTATCTACCATATTTTTGTTATATAGCGAGTATAGGTGTTTGAATTTTTTTTTTTTTAAGATTTATTTATTGAGGCTGGCACTGTGGCATAGTGGATACAGCCACCGCCTGCAGTGCCAGCATCCCATATAGGCGCCAGTTCAAGTCCCAGCTGCTCCACTTCCGATCCAGCTCTCTGCTATGGCCTGGGAAAGCAGTGGAGGATGGCCCAAGTCCGTGGGCCCCTGCACCCACGTGGGCGAACAGAAGAAGCTCCAGGCTCCTGGCTGTGATTCAGCACAGTTCTGACTGTTGCAGCCATCTGGGGAGTGAACCAGCAGATAGAAAACCTCTCTGTCTTTCTCTCTGCCTCACTGTACCTCTACCTTTAAAATAAATAAATCTTTAAAAACTACATAATAAAAAGATTTATTTATCTATTTGAAAGGCAGAGTTACAAACAGGCAGAGAAAGAGATCTTGCATCCACTGGTTCACTCCCCAAATGGCTGCAGTGGCTGAAGCTGGGCCAGTCTGAAGCCAGAAGCCAGGAACTTCTTTCAGGTCTCCCATGTGGTTGCAGGGGCCCAAGCACTTAGGCCATCTTTCCAGGCCGTAGCAGAGAGTTGGATCAGAAGTGGAGCAGCTGGGTCTGAAACCGTTGTTCATATGGTATGTCAGCACTGTTGGTATTGGCTTTATCTTTGATGCCACAGCACCAGTCCTTAAATGAATTATTTCTAAGGTTTAGGAATTTTTGGTTACATAAAACACTATTTGTATTGTTATTTTCTTCTTGGTTTATTTTTTTACTTAATTGCTTATAAATGGTTTTTAAAAAACAACAGAGGAAACTTTGTCATTCTTCCGTTTGCAGTTGGGGACCCTGGGAGCAGGCAACCACTATGCAGAAATCCAGGTTGTAGATGAGATCTTCAATGAATATGCGGCCAAGAAAATGGGCATCGACCATAAGGGACAGGTGTGCGTGATGATCCACAGTGGGAGCAGAGGCCTGGGCCACCAGGTAGCCACAGGTACAGTCTGATGGGGCTGAAATGTCCATTCTAGGAAGAACTGCATAGAGGTTTAGGAGAGAAGGCTCTAGAACTGTACTACATGAGTTTTTATACTGCTTCTCCTGTGACCTTGGAACAGATTAACTTCACCAACCAAGTTAACTTTCTCATCTGAAAAAAAAAAAATGTGTCATAATTATTTCATATGGTATTGTCACAGGAGGTTAAAAGAAAAAATTATACAAAGAGCTTAAATCAGTGCTTGGCACTAAGTAGTCAGTGTTAGCTTCAGTTACCATCATGTTTGCTGTTAACTATGTGGCCAAGAAAGAGTGGGGGAAATAGCCTGGGAAGGTCACGGAGTCAACATTGAACACGTGTGTTAGAGACCCGCTGTGTAAGATGGTACTGAGGGGGATTCTGCGAGAAAGCAAGCAGGTACTCTGCTCTCAGATTGTCTCATGAAGGAGAAGTCGTAGTCATTTAAAAGAAAAAGTAAAGACAGAAGGCAGTAAATTTGTAAAAAAAAAAAAAACAATGTAAAAGACAAAAAACATGCTCAGGAAAGATATCAGAGATGGCCTCGTAGATATGTAACATTTGAGTGGACCGTGCAGTTTGGATAATCTCACACTCAGGACCTTGGTGACAGAACATGAACAAAAGCAATAAAATAGTGGATATGTCACTTAGCTAACTTACCGGCTGTGCAAAAGGATTTAAGGATATGTAAGAATGTGTTTGTATTTTTTTTTTTTTTTTTTTTGACAGGCAGAGTGGACAGTGAGAGAGAGAGACAGAGAGAAAGGTCTTCCTTTGCCGTTGGTTCACCCTCCAATGGCCGCCGCGGC